CGCGCGCACGCGCGCACGCGCGCACGCGCACACGCGCACACGCGCACACGCGCACACGCGCACACGCGCACACGCGCGCACGCCCACACGCCCGCACGCCCACACGCCCACACGCCCACACGCCCCCACGCCCGCACGCACACGCACACGCACACGCACACTCATTAACAGAAAACCCCCCGCGATTAACCAGGGCCCTTTTCAGCTCAAAACCCAAAAATATGCTGTTGCCTTTTAAAGTCCTACTGCCCCGAAGGGACCAGAAGTAAGAGGACGAGGACCGAAGGGGCTCCAGAGTAATCAGGGGGGTCCCCCCAAGAATCTCATTTTTTGGGACTTGTCCAAACCTTGTCAACCTTGAAGGGGGGGGGCGGTTTACTAATGCCCACGCACACGCACGCGCGCGCGCCCGCACGCACGCACGCACGCACGCACGCACGCACGCACGCCCGCCCACCCACCCACCCACCCACCCACCCACCCACCCACCCACCCACACACACCCTCACACGCCCACACACGCCCACACACACGCGGGCGCACAAAGGCGCACACGAAAGCGAAGCGCGCGTACGCGCACGCACACCCACACACACACGCACCCACACCCACAGCTGAGGCTGTTGGACACATATTGGGTTTTCAACATGGACCCTAAGTTCCCTTTGGCTTTAATTGTTTTTCTTCCACCCATACCATGAGGTCCTGCTGGAGCTCTTCACGCGGCTCGAAAGCTAGTCGGCTGCGTGTGGCTTTCTTGAGGGTGCCCTTATCGGGTTGTTTCAAAGGGAAATCAAGGGAAGGGAAGATCACTTCTGGGGTGTCCCTATCTTGACACACACACACCCATCACCCTGGATGTCTTTTTTTAGGGGACTCCCCCCCCAAATTGGCGGCTGTCCTCTTGGTTTCCAGACAAGGGGACCAGAAAAAGGCACTCGTGTGCGTGGTGAGTTCCAAGAAAACCCATTGGTGAAGCCTCACCCAACAAATAATTTCCTGAAATCCGACCCCGAAAATACAGTTTGAGTTGGTTTCTTGGCGTGAAGTCTGGTGAAATCTGGGCTTGTGCTGCCTATATCTTGCCTTTTGGCCCCAAGGGGTCCGCCCTCCGTTGCAAGTGCATGCCGTGCAGGCTTGTCGCTTTGCCCATGTTTTCCAGAGATCCAGACTGAAGTGTCTGAGGCCCAGCGAGCTTCTCCCTCCAGAGCTCGGATGTGGCAGCGAGCGCGAGGGGGAGCAGGTGAAGGCCATTGACCTGATTTTGACCATCGCCATCTTTTCCCTTGTTCTCCCGTCGTATTTGCACCGTGGAAGCTTCGCGCGCAAGTTGAGAATCCGCAGTAGTACTTGTGTCTTGTCGATCTGGAAGATGCTCCATTTACTCGCGGTTGTAATGCATTGGCTTGAGCAGGCCTTTTGCACGACCCAGAAGCTCAACGCAGTGGTTGCCAGTCGACAGATCCCACCAAGTGGCTTTGCGTTCGACTTTGGCAATCGCCTGGTCAGGCCGGGATTGGAGAGGTTCGTTTGAATTGGACATGCTGTAAGTTTGCTTGCTTGCAAACTTCTGGACAGCCAGGGTCATGTTGAGATTGGGGAGTGCCAAGGTCCAAAGCGTGCTCACATTTAGTCATGGGCAGTTCAGCCAGTTCCTCACTCCGAACTCTGAACGCTGGTTTTTTGGCAGGGTATGCTCCTGTCTCAATTATTGCGATCTGCCTGGGGGCAACATGGCCGCCATCCTCTACATCATCCTGAACGATGACAGCGAGTGCGCAGCTTCCATCCGGCCAAAGGTGCTGGCGGCGTACTTCGACCGACGCCATTTCTTCCACGGAAGCGCCTAGATGGCGCATTTGCAGCTTACACGGGAACTTCCACGTTGTGGCACAGAGCTGCAAACATAGAATCCACCATGTTTGCGCAGTTTAAATACACCAGCTGCCAAATACGCACATATAATTTCCCAGCACTCAAAGACTTGCGCGCGCAAGACTGGTAAACCAGCGAATCAGACAGACTTGATTTTGATGAATTGGTTTGGCTGCATTGAGGATACGCGGTTAGTTCTTGTTGCGGAACATATTGGGCTTTTGCCGCCAGCTGCTGTGCCACCTTACACAATGCCGCCCTTTCCTTTGACCCTTCAAGGCAATTGACACTTGTGTGCATCCGGGCATTTTGCTTCACGTCAAACAGACCGCGGAAGCTTGAACTCGAGTGCACGCAAAAAGTTGCTTGTGCCTTGCATCAGGATGTTGCGTTTTCAACAGCACACAATGGCTGGGCAGCCAACTATTCATTGGTGACGTGCAGAATGCTGATGCAAGCATTGCTGGCATTGCTGGCATTGCTGGCATTGCTGGCATTGCTGGCATTGCTGGCATTGCTGGCATTGCTGGCATTGCTGGCATTGCTGGTGATTGTAACCTCTGGTGATGCTGGTGCTACTGATGATTCTGCAAGCAACCAGCTGACAGACCAGAAGACGAAGAATATGCAGCAAGACGGAGGAGCATGCAAGCAGGATGGCACGTTAGTTGCACAAGTCAAAGCTCCAGAGGCAAGAGGGCGCCCATCAAAATGCTTTGCTTCGGGATTCTCGTATGTCCCAGTTGGTGAAGTGTAGTAAGTTGCGCTGATTTGGGGCATGGGCGCCGTGATCTTCTTGTTGCCCAAGATCCCCGCAGGCAGATCCTGGTCGCTGGCGATCTGCTGTCTCAACCGGGTTGGCCCTTTATTTCAGCAGCTGCAAGAGTGCGGAACTAGAGCCCCATGCTCTATATTTGGCTAGCTGTTTCTTCAGGGGGAATCCCAAAACACATAAAAAAGGAAACCCTTCTAATTTGGAGGAAGGCCCTGGACAAAACAAAAAGAAATTCGTCCAGTTTGGAAGGAGAACTCCAGTTTTTGGTGACTGCTTCAGCTTCGCTTCAGCTTCGCGCCGAGGACCCCTCAAGGGTCGCCGCAGCGCTCCCAGCCGCTGGCCACCGCAGAAGCGGGCACCCACCCCTGGACGGCTGCGGGAGGCCCAGGCGCGGCTAAGTGGGCGTGCCCCGCGTGCCCCTTTCCTTGCTATAAGGGGACCCCTCTTGGCTTTAAAGGGACACCAAAAGGAAAACGCATTTTTGGGGTCCCTAGAAAGACACACACACACACACACCTACAATTAGCAAGAACCACAAACAATCTCCAAGGATCTCTAACCACGATGAAACTCGCGTCTCGGCGGACGCAGACTTCGGATGGGGTGAATTCGCCAGAGCTCCACAAAGGGCTCGCCAAATGAGAGGTGGATGAGACTGGTCGCCCGACCCTCGCGGTGCACTTGCTGGAAGACCAAGCGGTGGCCACCATCGAGGACTCTTTGGGCGCTCCGTGGCCGTAGGCCCCCTGTTCGACGACCCGATGCAAGCAGCATGTAGAAGGCTTCTTGCACTCTTTCTAAGGCTGTTTGTTCTTGAGGGTTGGGCTGCCCGCATTGGCTTGCTCGGCTTTTTTGCTGGCAGTGTGGCAATACTGGCATGAATATATGCGAATAATTGTGCTGTTCATTGTGCTGCAGGAGAATTACTTACACTTCCCTGCATGTGCTCCCCGCAGAGTCGCGCGAGCACAGCCGGGGCCAGCGGAATCAGGCTTGAAGCCAGTCACTTGACTGGAATGTCCACGAGGAGGTAAGCTTCATATATATATATATACATATATGAACAAAGGTCAGTACAAATGACTGTAAAGGAGATCACATGAGGTACGCGGACCACAGCATGACAAGTGAAATGGGTATGCCCAACGCATTCCCGCATCATTTTGGGGATATGAATATTCACAGTGGCTCGTATGCAATGACGCTCGCACATACGTTGCGTGATTAAGGTTAGCTCTCGCCAGCCGCGAGAGAGCTGAGGGCCTCAATTAGCCCCTGTCCTGGCACAGCTGGGAGCTGGGGCTGCGGGCAAAAAAGACCGAAGCGTTTCGCGCTTTCGGCAATGTAAAACAAGTGAGGGCTTTCCATGCTATCCGTAGCAGTGTGGCTAATGGCTGGCTTCAGTATTCAGCACCTAGCTGAGCCCAACTGGCGACTGGACCCCTGAATGTTTGAAGCCATCACAACGCGTGGACAACAGTGGAGCCTCCTTCCACTACCCAATCCACCCCAATGAGGGCATGCGATTCCAGACGTTGTCGGTCCCAGGCAAGTGCTGCATGTGCTGCTGACCATGTATCGGTGCAGCACCCGAGTCCTTGCTGAGCCTGAGGAGCAGTGTTCCGAGCCGACCGGATCATTTTAGGGCGCACCGGGTGGGTCATGATTAATTAAGGGTGCCCATGGTGATAGTTTTGGAACATCGCGCCATTCCGAAAGCGCCGTTGGTCCGCATGAGCTTGAAAAAGTCTCTCTAAATTCCACAGCGTCCCGCGCGCCCGCGCGTAAAAGCGCCTGACGCATACGAAGCTGCAGATGTCGCAAGCCCTTGAATCATGTAGTTCCCCCCCCCCCCCCCCCCTCCCCATTTTTCTGGCGATCTCATTCGCATGGATAGTCAGGCTTGCGAAATCCTCGCCACGGGCAGTAGCGCAGGCGATTTGTGTGTTGTCGCATTGAGTCGAACGCAAACCCCGCAGACGGTTTCTCTCGTTTGGTATTTTTGCTTGGCTACTGTGCGTGATTTAGTCGTCGCATCGTCTTCACTTGCAACACTGGGAAGGCGTTGTAGCCAGCGTTGGGAGGAGCTGCGGGGTTGGCTGTTTTCCCGAAAGCATGCGAAGGGTTCTTTTTCTATCAACGGCCGCACACTGCACTGGCCAACTTCTCCTGCCAACTTTTCGAGAGTTACTTCACCTGCCAACTTCCCCTGCCAACTCTTCGAGAGTTACTTCACCTGCCAACTTCTCCTTCTATTTTTTTTGAGAGTTACTTCACCTGCAAACTTTTCCTGCCAGCTTGTAGAGAGTTACTTCGCATGCTCTCCTGCCAACTTCTCGAGAATTATTTCACCTGCCAACTTCTTCTGCCACCTTTTTGAGTGCTACCTTACCTACCAGCTTCTGCTGCCAACTTTTAGAGAGTTACTTCAATCACCATTTGCTCCTGCGAACCTTTTGAGAGCTACTTTGCCTGCCAATTTCTTTTGCCAACGATTCGAGAGTTACTTCGCCTGCTAATTTATCCTGCCAACTTTTCAAGAGTTACTTTGCCTGCGAGTTTATTCTGCCAACTTTTCGGGTGTTACTTCACCATCCTAAATCATAATCTAATTTGTATTTTGCGTCCTGTTTGCTGGAGTCTTCATTATTCTTTTTTTCTGCGGCGGGTCGGGCGGACGGGAGCTATCGAAGCGCTCTCTGCGGAGATCGCGCGTGTCGAAGCGCTCTCGTGGCCCCGTGCGATTTTACTTTAATTGCTTGCGAAACGGTCCTTGGAATGAGGGTCTCCTCTTCAGTTTGAGACATTGACATCACCCAAAGTGCTTGCGGAAAAGAGCCCACCTTCTGCGGCAAGGACGCCGTGCTTTGCACACATATGAGGGCCGTCCTAAAACCCCAGTCTTCGGTTTTAATCATCGCCGAACGGGGAGAAGTAAAAGTTGTCCAAAACTGTGCGCGCGCAAGGAGCGCGCAAGTGTGGCCCAAGGGACGCGCAGGTTACAGTTTTGAAGGTTCATGTACTGATGTTTCCTAGCTTTATGAAAGGAGGTGATCTTTTTTGACTGTACTTGTGCTTTTTGAATGTTGCTTGGGTCATAAGAAGGCCACCTTGTTTGCAAAGGTCGGCGTGTTTTTCAGTCAGACGCCAAACGAAGCCAAAGCTTCTGCAGTCATGACTTCAACAATCAGCAGCTGACACGACAAAATCCGCGCAAGCCGCGCGCAAGTTGCGCGCAAGCGCGAGAAGCCCCAGCAAAACATCTAGCCATTTGCTGTCTCGGATGTCCTTAGCGGCGCGGTTCAACCAATGGATAGGCAGCCGCAACATGCAATTTGCGTCTTTCAGGTTGTGTCCAAGCTGTGTCGTGTTCTTCTGTTGGTCAAGAGTATGTTGCTCGCCGAGAATATGCCGAGAATTGCTAGGAGCGACCTCAGCGGGAAGAGCGTTTGTGGGTTGCTGTGTGGACGACAAACACACTGCTTAGAAAAGCTTCCGCGCAATCCACACGAAAACTTCGCAAACCGAGGTTAACGAAACCTAGTTTCTGCGTCACTGTGCGCGCGCAAGTCCGCGCAAGTGCCGCGCAAGGACCCAACCCTGGGCAAAGGAATGTAGGACAACCCCCATATGCGTGGCCCTTTCGTGATACAGCTTAGATCTCCCAGAACTCAGGGGCCCCGCGCTCCCAACAAGCGTGTGCTACGATGCGCCGCCTTTGGGGCTTTGTTTTCAGACGTCGCAGTTCGAAACAGAATGTGTCGCAACATGGAGTACCCCAACTGAGGGTTGCGCCTTTGAAGGAGAACTTTGTTGATCGAGTGGAGAAGCTTCTGGATCACAGCTCCGTCAGGTGCTGGATGTCGACAGCGATGTTTATTCTGTGAGTCTAATCGCACAGGGCATTCCATCGAAAGAAAGGAAGCTGCACACATAAATTGCCTGTCTAAATCAGTATTGGTTGTGAGGAGTAGATGTAATGCTGGTCGCGGGTTCAAAAGGTGTCTCAATCGATCAGATCAGCTTTCTATCCACGTTGTACAACAGGATTGATTGAGCCAATAGCGATTTGCATTGTGGAACATCCTCTGCGCAAAAGCACTGGTGCCAGGTTCATTCTGCCAACTTCTCAGCTGTCAGTTGGTTAAATCAGCCTTGCAGGCTTAAACCAAAATGACAACACCTGGACTGAGGAAGCAGCAGGAGCTTGAGCAGAAGAAACAGGCTCGGCTGATTTTTTGAGCGACTTTGCGAATGACATGAGTTGAATTGAAGGGTATTTGTGGAGGGCCGCAGACAGGCATGTTCGCGGATGCAATGAGTCGGCTTGCTTGAGGTCGTATCCTGTTCACTTTTGACTCGCGTGCCTTCAGTCTCAACTCGCTCATCGAATGTGTCCCGAAAATGTAGGCTGCCGACGTGATGGAGAGCATGCTCTGCCTAGATGCTCAGCGAGGTGCGTAGTGCGGGTGCTTCGAGGGGACATTGCAGCTGCATGAGTTCAATTTATTAGCACCTAGTGGCAGCAACATCGATTTCCTAGTTCGCTGGCAGGCCGGCCGAAACTGGAAGCCACAAGATTGGATGAGGCGGTGGCAGTATGGCTGTATGGGCACACCGAAATGCATGACATGGAAAGCGAAATGTAAGAAAGGGGAAGGTCTCATCATGGTAGGAACATTTGAGGCTTCAGACAGCGAAGTGGAGAATGCAAGATTCTATGGTCCCTCCCAGCAACCATACGGCCAGTCGCTATGGGTTGCCTGCGCCCCCAATCAATGCCCTGCGTGGGAACGCGCGTGTCGCTGCACAAGAACCCATGGGACGTACTGAGTTTTAGGCTGCGGTCGACCCTCTGCGTGCATCGGACGATGTACAAAACCAGGCTGCGCAGCGGACCTTGTCATGGATCGCGTGCGGGTCAACGCACAAACGCCCACAGGAAACACATCTTTTTCGACGCCCAACACCCTAAGCCGTCCCAAACTTTAAACCTAAACGCGAACCCAAAACCCCAAACCTAAAAATCCAAAAACTTAATTTTTAAACCTAAACCTAGTTCGTACACGTAGCCTGACATCTTATTTCCCAAGCGTAACCCTAAACCTAAACCGCGTAACGAAGCAAGCCAGCCCCAAATCTTAGCCTAACTTGAAGCCCAAAATCCAAAGTGCCAGCCGGACCTGCGTGCTGCGCTAGGTGGGGAATCACGTGCATGACGGATGACGGATGACGGATGACGTATGACGATTATGACGATGATGACGATGATGTCGATGATGACGATGATGACAATGATAACAATGATGACCACGATGTTGATGATGATGATGATGATGATGATGATGATGGTGATGGTGATGGTGATGGTGATGGTGATGATGATGGTGATGATGATGACGATGACGATGACGATGAGGATGATGATGAGGGTGAGGGTGTCGGTGTTGACGATGATGATGATGATGATGATGATGATGATGATGATGATGATGAGGATGATGACGATGGTGAGGATGAGGATGATGGTGAGGATGATGGTGAGGAAGATGGTGAGGATGATGGTGAGATGTGATTCCATGTGGTGCCGCTTCCACTGTGAACTTCCTGGCGCATGCCACAGCTTGGAAGTGCCGCAAGCTGGGTCCCGAAGGTGGTCAATGCATTGGACCTGTTTTTATTTCATTGGTCAACTCAGTGGTCATTTCATTGGTCAATTCATTGGAAGGCAAGCCAAAAGCCGTTTGGGCAGAGAGTTCGTCAGGACTCCGATGAGGCCATGGACGTGCTCTCCAATGTCGGGGTTCGCAGCGTAGGAGAGAGAAACTCCTGGCCCGGAAGTTGAAGCATGGCTGGAATTGCTGTCCGGCCCTAAAATCCGTGTCCAAAGTAATCTTTCTATATACATATATTATTATTATTACTATTATTACTATTATTATTTATTATTTATTATTATTTTATTATTATTATTATTATTATTATTATTATTATTATTATTATTATTATTGTTATTATTATTATTATTATTTATTATTATTATTATTATTATTATTATTATTATTAGTAGTAGTAGTAGTAGTAGTAGTAGTAGTAGTAGTACTATTATTACTATATGTTATATTATGTTGTGTTATGTTTTAGTATTATATGGTATTATATTATATTATATTATATGATATTATATTATATTATTATATAAGCTGAGTGAAGGATAGTAAGGATGGACTTGGTCGGCTGAAGGATCTTCCAGTGTTACCTTCAGGCTACGTTGCGGCCCTGTTTAAGAAGGGAAATCCGTGTCTCGGCAGGAGAGGCCTCTGAGGAGATGAGTGAGGCTGCAACCAGGCCACATCTCATGGATTCGGCAGTCGCTTGCGATCAATCGCAATCTGACTTTGGGGCTCTTGGCAACCTTGACCAAGCCCGCACTCTGCCGTGCACAAAGCGTGATAGCATCTCATTGGGCCGTTGCGCAGTTGGGTGTTTTCGCGCTTTTGGCTTGCCAGGCCAGCCGATGAGCCGCGGCGGGTGCTGAAGCCTCCGTTCTTCAAATCCTGGCAGGATGCATGTGCGCTAACCTTTGCAATGGGCAGCAGAAGATGCGAGGTTGCGAGCATGGAGTGAGAGATGGATGAGAGAAGTAGCTGCAGGACTTCATGGAATTCGACATGAACTACAAGCACAAGAGCCTAAACAGCAAGCGGCGCTGTGATTGCGGGCCGCTGACTGCGTCTCCACTTGGCATGTTGGGCTGGCCCCCCATTTGAAGTTGAGTACCTCAGGCCACATAAAGCAGGTTTACTGCAGTCTGAAACCAAGCCCGCCAGATCCCGCCCCGCAGCCTGAAAGGCGTAGGACTCCTACTGGCAAGATGTCCGGCGTGAGTTCGTATTGTGCCCGAGGATTCCGATCACTCAGAGTGAGTTGGGCGCTCAGTTCATTCCGGAAACACAATCTTCTCGAGGTGCGTTGTCCCTTGATCCTGAGTCTGGGAAAGGTGTGGTCAGGTCCGGCAGGAGAGGCAAATGAGCCCAATGTTCACGTACCGTTGGTGAACAAAACACGTGGCACAGTGAGCCATTGGAGCGTCTTGGACTTGTCAACTTCTACACAGCAGACAAAACACTGATGAACTCAAAAGGTTTTACACAACCTGAGCTGCCGGCAGCCAGTGTAATCTGCGGGTACACTTGCTTTGCATCAACGTTGCCTGCTAAGCTTCATGCTCCTGCTGGAGAAAGAGTCACAAGACATGCAAGGCCAGCATTGTGAGTGTGTGTCCGATCCTTTGACTCACCTGCCGCGCAGGTTGGGATCTTTGCATTGATCGGAAAGAGATCAAGGTGGCAAAGGCCCAGAAAGCTCAAGAACTTGTTCGGATGAGTCATACTCAGCTTTGCAACATCCGTGGCCTAGCCTGGTCGAACCTGAGATCATAGCAAGAAAACAACTGCCTGGCTTGCTTGGAATGTCCACTCGATGCAGACACTACAGACGGACGGCTCCGGGTGCCTTTTCTTGCGAGCACGGGCCCTGGGGGTGGAGTTCTGGATCTACCTACTTGTCACAGTCAGTACTCTCTGCTCGCGGTAGATTTGACACACACACGAGTGAAGCTTGAGGTTTGAGTCTTGTGAAGGAGAGATGCATGTCTAGCACATCTCGCAAGGCATGGGCGACCTTGCCGGGTGTTGAGCTTCCGGTGGTCTTCCACATGTTCCACAATACTGACATGCGCATGCAGCCGCTTGGCCGGCGGATGTCCACAGAAAGTGATCAGGCTGGCCATGCCCAGAGTCTTGAGCACTCAGGTGGGACAAAGCCTTCTCCGACATGAGCATAGTCGACAGGGTCCAGGTGCCTTTGACAGGTGCATGACCGTTAGGCGACCCTGGCTGTCAGTAACTCTGAACGGGGCGGGCAGCTTCTGATTGCCAAGTCTCTTTTGCCTTAGGGCTCGGACATCCTCTACAGTGTGCTGCGCGTGCCTGCAGTCAGGGTCTCACGTTCCCAGCAAATGGCAGAACACACGGGTTTCCCTGCATTTGGGACGTCGCTTATAAGGCAGGCTTCAAGATGCAAGCTCAAAATCGACGCAGAGACACCAAAACATGTGTTTGAGAAGTGTGCTCATTCGCAGTGACAGCCCTGAATTGGTAGCATTGAATTGACTGGCGCACGCCGAGCAGCACTGTGCCAAGTTCACGCCGCGTGACTATGTGCAGTACCGGCGGGCCAAAGTATTGGAGGACACACGTGCAGATGTGTAGAGGTTGTACCTGAGACAACGAATGTGTGGTTAGCAAGGCATGCATTGAGCATGCCTATTGTTGTGACACCAAGACAAAGTCGATATCGGGGTGGATGCTGTAAATTGTATGACCAGTCCAGGCTTTTGTCCGCCATTCCAGGATGGCACAATCCTCATCAGCCTCCGATCTGCGAATCATCCGGACTTGCCGGAAAAGAATGGGTTCCGTGCTTAGCAAATAAGCAGGAGCATGTCAAGTTGCGTGTTTGATCGTTCCCAAGTTTACTTTTCCTCAGAGTTCTTTTAGCCCAATAATTGTGTGCTGGTCATTTTGGGCGATGTGTTTGGCACGAGCACACGGCACACGCATTGTTCAGATGACAATGAACCTTTCGTCTTGAGGTACGTTCGAGCTGAGTCCTTCACTTCCGGCTATGTCATGAAGCAATATGCTGATGGGTGTCAGACTTGGTTAGAATTGGCATCTCCTAGCCGCAGGAAGCGACTTTGCTTGGTGGTTCCCTGGCTGATGTGCATGCATGACCCGCGCCAAGGGATGGCAAAGGCACCAAGATTTTCCTCATGACCTGCACTGACGTGAAGGCTTGGTGCGGAACATGTTTCCTATCTTAAGCGACGCAAAGACACGGCTGGCGTTGACGAGGGCATCATTCCGAAGTGGATCATCAACTTTGTCGCTCCGCGGAAGCCTGGGGAGTGGATCGACTGCCTGAAGAAAGCCGCTGTGCAAAAAGAAAAAAGGTCCAACGCTGTCGGGAGGTGAGGGTTGGGAAGTGGCAGGCTGATTTATGAAGGCTCCCTTTCTAGGGATCCACTTTGAGTTCTCCCGCCTCAGCGAATTGACTTGCCTCTCAGGCATGCCTGGACTACCAGGCGAACAATCCGGACTACGGCATGCTGCAGAAGGCGCGCGCTTCTGCCACGGCTCCCGACATGCATGGCAGCCCAGGAATTGGACCCCTTTCGGGCGGCGGTGCCTTTCGACTACGAGGAAGAATTCCACGTGTCACACGCGGAAATCCCAGTGATTCGGCCCAGGACATGGATTCGAGTCTGGTCCGATCTCCGGTCCCTGAGGCCCAGGTAGGGCAACCTGGGAATTTCTAGGATTTGGTATGAAGGGAATCGTGCCCTCAACTCCACAGAAGGAGGTTTTGGCCTTGGCAAACATGGGGTTTCTATCCTTTTCTTGGACACATGTCGTGTTTTGTGCTATAAATGCTTCTTTAATAAGACTTCCCAGAGGCCATATTCCTGGTCATAGAATTCCTGGGCCGGCTCACTTTTGACTTGAAGTTGTGCTGCGTCCCCTGGCAGACGACGCGCGTTTGTGGGCTATGAGCGGCGCAAGACCTAGAGCCTGGACACGTGCTACAGGCTGACAGTTTCGGAATGAAGCTAGCATGCGGTGACCTAGTTTTTGCTCTTTTTCGCGAAGGTAGGATGAACTTTTCAAAAAGCCGGCGCCCCAAGGGCGGTTTCTGGCGATATCAATGCCTGGGTCTGCTTTTCACAATTCTAGAGCGTTTTCGGCCAGTTCTGCAAGTTGCCCGGACGGCTGGCCATGCCAAACGGCAGCCGGCTGCATTGCCGCAATGAGACGCCCTTCCACCTGAGGAGGTTCCGCTTGGGCAGATCTAGGTCTGGGCGCGCACACCTCATGGGTACGGAATTTAGATTCGACAGGTACATGCCTTGCAAAGGGCGCTGCATTCGCAGATTCAAAGTTTCAACAAAACACATCTGGCTGTGAGTCAAAACCAATGGTACCATTTTGGGGTAGGTGCACCACCCATTTTAGTCCATTCTAGTGGGAATAGGGATGTTCACTAGGGGTACGATTTGGATTCTGACCCATGGCCATCTGCTGGTGATTTGTAGCTGCTGCAAATCCGCTGCTTCGGCTCAGTTGCAGCTCCGGGCCACATCCCTTGCTGCAGGAGGGACAGGGTTGGGACAGTGGGACCATTCGGGTGGAGGCACTGGCCTCATCATTTTATCATGGTCAAAGTCACCCCCTAAGTGGTGGGTTAAGGGAAACAACCCATTTTCTGACTTTGATAGACCCCAGAAACTGTAAAAATAATGACGCCAGAGGCAGGGTGGTCGCGCTTCCGACACAAGCCGTTCCGCTGTTTGAAGAAGCTAGTAAGCTACCATGCCGTTAAGCGAAGCTATCAAAGAACGGTGGAATCGAATGGGGAGTCAGCCCCTAGCAGTCTGACAGTGTTTTCGTGAGGCAGGGTTTGCCTTCTGACCAACGTCTTAGTCTTAAAACAAAGGCAAGCTATTAAGCGATTGAGCGATAGCGGCAAGCGAGCAAGCAATTTAGCTATTTGGGAAAGCGGCTTGGTCCACCAATCTGGGTGTGACGTCGCGTAGCAGTAGCAGTGCAATGACTAGCGTAACAGCTTGCATAGAACTCTGACAGCCTCTTCAAATGAGTTGCTTTTTCAAGGTACCCTCTTTGTGGGGTCGCGTGAAACGCTCCCTGTTTTGGTGAGCGTCACCCAAAATATACTCGAATGTTGAGCTTCCTCTTCCTTTGCCTGGCTCCAAAGACGAACAGACACTGAGGGTTTTTGCTGCTGTGGGCGTCTCTGGTGATGCTGCAGGTGTTGCTGGGGTGTGTTGCTGGTGTTACTCACCTCGAAGAACGTTTGAAAAACGCTGTAGTCGGGACACGTTCATCTCGACGGTGTAGGTGATGTCGTGACTGGCGGCAATGTTGGGGTTGTCGCTGGTGCTCCATTGTTCTGCTTGCGCGCCCGAGACAACTTAAGGCATCAGCTAAATTGAACTCATGATGTGCTCGGCCCGATGCAGCCGCTACGCCATTAAGCTTCTTATCCTAATCGATATTTGGTCGCTTTTTTGGTCGCTTCTCCTAATCGCTCAATCGCTTGATCGCTGCTCCGAATCGCTTAATCGCTTGATCGCTGTTCCGAATCGCTTAATCGCTTGATCGCTGTTCCTAATTGCTTAATCGCTTGATCGCTGTTCCTAATCGCTGAATCGCTTGATCGCTTATGCGAATCGCTTAATCGCTCAGTCGCTTACCCGAATCGCGTAATCGCTTCCGGAGAACTTCATGACCACTCTGACGAGTCTGTCAGAGGAATCACCTCAAAATATTGCGCCGGGCCGAAAGATTTCCCAGAGCGGAAGATGCTGGCAGACTTGCTCAGTGCGGGCCAGGCCGAGGACATGGCTGATGAAGAGGCAAGTATTGCTGTCATGACTTCATTTACATGATAAGTTTGCGGAAGACATTTTTAGTCGTGTTGGTGATTAGTGTTTTGCCCATCCGTCCCGTTTTTGCCTGCCGGCATCGACAGGCAGCCGATGTGCCCCCTGAGCCTGTGCCACGAGTGACTGACTCTGGAGCTGCATTGGGGGGGGGGAGGCTAAGCTGATATCGCAGCATGTTCATTTTGTGGGCAGACCGTCATACTCAGAGAGAAAAGCAGTTGTAAGACATGCCGCACCGCAGCCGCAGATCAAGCGCCTTCGTGAAAGGGAAGCCTTAGTTGAAGGTCCCGGGAAGATTTTGTGTTGAAGTGACTTGAAGTTCTGTAGCTCAAAGGACTGTGCTTTGTCTGCATTTTTGCGGACCTCACTTTGTTTTTGCTGGACATAAATCCCCACCCAAATGGTGTCCACCACAGAGTCCCTTAGTAAAGTTCACACCCGTACATCTCGCGTCATTTCCAAACGCAGACGCACGTGGAACGGGTATGCGTTTGGCAGCTCTTTTTTTTTTTGCCAAAAGAGCAATGTCCTCGTAATGTCAGCTTTGGCGTCGGCATTGACAGATGCGTTCTGCCACCCCATTCTGAGGAAGAGGAGCTGGAAGCTCGAAAAGGAGTCTTTGATCAGATCTTCGCTGGCTATGAAGCGCTGGAGGTTGGTGGCAAGCCTGTTGCAAAGCTAGTGCCTGTCTCTATGTGGTCAGGTCAAGCAGAAATCCATGGCCGAAAGGCGTGAAAAAGAGGCCGCAACCACTTGACGCGTGAGCCAACAATTGACCTTGCTCGATACAAGACAAGTACTTGGATTGCCATGGCATGGGACATCTGGTGAATTGGGCCAGGGTCCGATTTAATGTCATCAGACACCAATACCTTACAGGCGAATAGGTTGGCTGTTTCCAGGCGCCACCTCCTCCGCCTGAAGATGGGGACGCTGTGGAAGAACCACCAGAGGCAGCAAATTGTCAGTGGGTCAAAACCAATGATACCCCAAAATAGGTGCATCACCCATTTTAGTCTACTTTAGTGGGGATTGGGATGTTCACTGGGTTGCGGGCTTTTGACTTGAGGTTTGTGTCCAAACCTGCTCCGTTTCACTGCAAACGATGGGTCAACCAAAGCGAGAGCAAGCACGGAAAGAAGCCTTGTCAGCTGGGAAAGTATTGCTTGTTGGGTATCAAACAGGCCAGACTTGATAGCTGATCAAAAACGAAGCCACAAAGCGACCATAAATGATCATGTTTTCACAGAAATTGTCCTTTGCCCGCCTTGCATAGCGTAGCATCCTCCCGTTTGCTGATGACAACGGCTGAGAGGTTGCGATGTTTGAGCTGGAGCTGCCAAAGTGTACTTTGCGTGCACGTGTATTGATTCAGCAGAGATGCTCAAGCTGGAGCTGCAAACAACGTACTGCCACAGACAGTTTTGCGATTTTTGAGGTTGAAAGTATGTGAAAAAACAAAGCACTGTAAAACGATACAGAGGAATGACTAAAACATGTCCTCTATACAACCTCACTTGCACTTGCCACGATTGCACCAGAAGTTACCCTTGCAACGCCCGAATCGCGAATGAGCCAAACATAGTCCATACACCAGATAGGGTATGTCTTTGAGTCGCTGAAAGTGGTCCAACACAAGCAGAGCCACTGAAGATCATATATGTTGGACTTTGCCTGCGAGCTCTCGCCAGACAACGCCAAACATTGCCCTGGCCTACAGCGAGCTGAGCTTCTCCATTGCCACTCAGAAAAGCAAGCGGGATTTTTTCAGACCGCATGGCTCAACTTGAAGTGAGAGGAGCCCATGCAGCTTTCAGGTCGATCGATTCGTGAACCTGGTGAAGGAGAAGTGTGGCCCCATGTATCCAGGGCAAGGCGCGGTGTGACTGCGGCTCGAGGGCTCGAGGCTCGATGTGAGTGCCCCACGTTTTTTTTTTTTTTTTTTCCGCAATTCGAGATATCACAAGCTTATGGGTTGCCTGTGGCTACCGAAGAGGAACCAGAAAAGATGAGGTGCCATGGATGATGAAAAATCTTACTCACGCCATGTAGATGCAATCCTTTTATGATCCGAACCGCGTCCAGGTGTATTCCTGGACTTTGGGAGTGGCTGCGGCAAGAATTGCTTGGCTGCTGCACTTTTACACCCATTTCAGAAGGCCAGTCAGCGAAGCGCTTCCGAAGCAACGGGCATTGACCGCAGCTCGCCTTCAAGTCCATGACTTCGGATTTGTTTTGCCTTTGTGGTTCAAGGGCAACGTGCTGCACGAGAGATGCACGGGCTGGCTCCGGCTAACAAAAAAGCAAACAAACTGGAGGTAGAATAGCCGAAAACCAGACGAAGGGGTGCCCTCAAAACCGGACGCCAGGTGGTCGGCATCGAAGCTTTGCAGAGCCTCAATGATATCGAGGCCGCCGTCCAGGCCAAGTATGCTGAGGCGCGAGCGAAGGCCTCGCCTGGTGTCTCGTCGGGACTGAGGTCCCATGAGCCCTACGTTCCGGTGGAATCGAGCAACAGAAACGAAAGCAGCTGCACATGCTTCTAATCCAATAGGAAAGTTTGGTCCCAACATGTGCATGAGAGTATGCAAGAATGTCTAACGATTGAAGCGCATGCATAATACTGTACAGCTGAAGTAATCAACATCCTTAGCATCAAAAGGGCCTGGCTGTCACTGCCCGAAAACCAAACTCGTCGCTACTAGGACCACCAGCAACCCAAGTACTTAGACTATATAGCGACATACTCCTTAGATTCCAAATAGGTTGTCGCCACTCACGTGCAACTATTTTTGTAATCTTCCCGGCTGCTTTTTGGCCAGGGGTCAGCGGATTTTCATGAAACATATTTGAATGAGCGCTTCAATTTGCAAACCCGGAAAACGATAGAGGACTCACGTACTAAAAATGACGTGATTAGAAGCTGGGCTGGCTCAAAAGATCATTCTTTGCATTGCAGCCAGCATGAGCAACACTGTGTCAACGTTGACAAGCTGACCATGCTACCAACTGAATTGCCAGCCTTATCCGGCTGTATGAGTGCAGCCAGTGACATCACACAGTTGGCCGGCTGTGGGGCGCATCGGCAGTGGTGTTTTCCTGGGGGGGGCCTGTCCTGTGCATACGTTCACGGTGGTGCATCCACGATGCTGCAGAACTGACATCAGCAGCCCCAAAGCTGCCGATACCACCCAGTGATACAAGTGCTTGAAGCGTTGACCACTTGGCTTAGGCAATACACATCGTTGAGTCAAGCAGGTGGATCTTTGGCGATGGGATGGGGTCAAACTTATCATGGCGCAGATCTTATTGACTCATTAAAGAGGACATGATCACAATGATTCAAGTAGTTTCGGCTGTGGCTCGAACGATCTTTGCTTGCGTTGCTGCCAGCATGTGCAACGCAGTGGAAAAATATGAGCAATCTTGCCATGCTACCATCTGAACTGCCAGCCCTACCCAAGTTTTCCCACTCGGCTGCATGAGTGCAGCCAGTGACATCACACAGTTGGCCGGGTGTGGGGCGCATCGGCAGTGGTGTTTTCCTGGCGGCAGATTGCAAAACCACCCCCCCCTACCCCCCCCCCTTCCAAAGTAAGGCCAAATTAAGAGGACACATAAAAGGAAGGCCTTATTAAGGACTTAGTAGGGACTTATTAAGCCCTTATTAAGGCCTTAATTTGGCCTCAAAATTAAGGAGGAATTAAGGCCAAATTAAGACCAAGATAATTTTTGGGAATTCACCTTTGTGGACAAATTAAGGCCTAATTCATGTTTTTGTTTGTGCAACAATGACTCAAGCCAATTCAAGCCAACAATGCAAATTGTAAAGCAGACTCAAGGCAAGACTGAGCTCAAACGCGCCAGCCTTTCAAACGAGCTATATGAAAACGCGATGTCCTGATTTACGGGTGCGTGCCTACGGTGTATTGGGTTGGGAATCACGCCAAGCTACTGTAAAGCAAATTAAGGCCAAATTAAGGCCAAATTAAGGCCAGATTAAGGCCAAATTAAGGCCAAATTAAGGCCAAACTAGCGCAAATCCCTATGGAATTTTGGTTTAAGCACAATTAAGGCCAAATTAAGGCCAGATTAAGGTCAAATTAAGGCCAAATTAAGGCCAAATTAGCGCAAATGCCTTTGGGATTTGGGCTCAAGCAAAATGAAGGCCAAACTAAGGCCAAATTAGGGTCAAATTAAGGCCAAATTAAGGCCAAATTAAGTCCAGATTGGCGCACATGCCTAATGCAGCAAACATATAGCACGAAATAAGGCAAGAGTAAGGCAAACGTAAAGCCCAATTCAAGGGAACACTGAAAGTGCGCCTAGGGAATTTGAAGAAACAGAAACTGAAAGCCAAACTGAAGCAACATGAAATCCAATCGGCGGGCGGGTTGGCTACCGAGCGCCGATGGCTTCAGGAAGTTGCTTCAAAAATAGCCCCTAATAAGCCCTAATCAGCCCTTATTTATTTTTGGGGGGTGGTTCAGAGGGGGGCTGGTTTGTAAACGCAAGGAGTCCTCAACAGAAAACACATGCACCCCTGAGGCCAACGCACATGGTGCTATATTGCTCATGTGTATGACAGCAAGACGATGGGCTAAAGCGCTTGCTGGGGGTGGCATTTGTCCTTCAACGTAGTACGTTGACAAGACGGCCCGCTGATGCAAGCAGGGGAGGCCTATCCTGTGCATGCGTTCAGGGTGGTGCATCTATGATGCTGCAGAGCTGACATCAGCAGCCCCAAAGCTGCCGATACCACCCAGTGATACAAGTGCTTGAAGCGTTGACCACTTGGCTTAGGCAATGCACATCGTTGAGTCAAGCAGGTAGATCTTTGGCGATGGGATGGGGTCAAACTTATCATGGCGCAGATCCTATTGACTCATTAAAGAGGACATGATCACAATGATTCAAGTAATTTTGGCAGTGGCTCGCATGATCGTTGTTTGCATTGCTACCAACATGAAACTTGCCATGCTACCAACTGAACTGCCAGCCCTACCCAAGTTTTTCCGCTCGCTGCATGAGTGCAGCCAGTGATATCACACAGTTGGCCGGGTGTGGGGCGCATCGGCAGTGGTGTTTTCCTGGCAAGGAGTCCTCACCAGGAGACACATGCACCCCTGAGGCCAACGCACATGGTGCTATATTGCTCATGTGTATGACAGCAAGACGATGGGCTAAAGCGCTTGCTGGGGGTGGCATTCGTCCTTCGACGTAGTACGTTGACAAGACGGCCCGCTGATGCAAGCAGGGGAGGCCTATCCTGTGCATGCGTTCACGGTGGTGCATCCATGATGCTGCAGAACTGACATCAGCAGCCCCAAAGCTGCCGATACCACCCAGTGATACAAGTGCTTGAAGCGTTGACCACTTGGCTTAGGCAATGCACATCGTTGAGTCAAGCAGGTAGATCTTTGGCGATGGGATGGGGTCAAACTTATCATGGCGCAGATCTTATTGACTCATTAAAGAGGACATGATCACAATGATTCAAGTAATTTTGGCAGTGGCTCGCATGATCGTTGTTTGCATTGCTACCAACATGAAACTTGCCATGCTACCAACTGAACTGCCAGCCCTACCCAAGTTTTTCCGCTCGCTGCATGAGTGCAGCCAGTGATATCACACAGTTGGCCGGGTGTGGGGCGCATCGGCAGTGGTGTTTTCCTGGCAAGGAGTCCTCACCAGGAGACACATGCACCCCTGAGGCCAACGCACATGCTGCTAAGTTGCTCATGTGTATGACAGCAAGACGATGGGCTAAAGCGCTTGCTGGGGGTGGCATTCGTCCTTCGACGTAGTACGTTGACAAGACGGCCGCCTGATGCAAGCAGGGGAGGCCTATCCTGTGCATGCGTTCACGGTGGTGCATCTATGAGGCTGTAGACCTGACATCGGCAGCCCCAAAGCTGCCAATACCACCCAGTGATACAAGTGCTTGAAGCGTTGACCACTTGGCTTAGGCAATGCACATCGTTGAGTCAAGCAGGTAGATCTTTGGCGATGGGATGGGGTCAAACTTATCATGGCGCAGATCTTATTGACTCATTAAAGAGGACATGATCACAATGATTCAAGTAGTTTCGGCTGTGGCTCGAACGATCTTTGCTTGCGTTGCTGCCAGCATGAGCAACGCAGTGGACAAATATGAGCAATCTTGCCATGCTACCATCTGAACTGCCAGCCCTACCCAAGTTTTCCCACTCGGCTGCATGAGTGCAGCCAGTGACATCACACAGTTGGCCGGGTGTGGGGCGCATCGGCAGTGGTGTTTTCCTGGCAAGGAGTCCTCACCAGGAGACACATGCACCCCTGAGGCCAACGCACATGCTGCTAAGTTGCTCATGTGTATGACAGCAAGACGATGGGCTAAAGCGCTTGCTGGGGGTGGCATTCGTCCCTCAACGTAGTACGTTGACAAGACGGCCGCCTGATGCAAGCAGGGGAGGCCTATTTTGTGCATGCGTTCAAGGTAGTGCATCTATGAGGCTGCAGCGCTGACATCAGCAGCCCGAAAGCTGCCGATACCACCCACTAATACAAGTGCGTGAAGTGTTGACCCTTTGGCTTAGGCAATGCACATCGTTCAGTCATGCAGGTAGATCGGTAATGGGATGGGGTGAAACTCAACTTGGCGCAGGTCTTACTGCATCACTTTACAGCCTTCCATACAATTCGCATGCAAACCGATTCTCCGATGTGGCACTTACAAAAAGTGTGTCCCTCGGGCGATACCCTAGCTACATACATATCGCATACATCGGTAGAGGACTCACAAAACAGGACATGATCACAACGATTCAAGCAATTTCGGCAGTGGCTCGCATGATCGTTGAATGCATTGCTACCAACATGAAACTTGCCATGCTACCAACTGAACTGCCAGCCCTACCCAAGTTTTTCCGCTCGGCTGCATGAGTGCAGCCAGTGATATCACACCGTTGGCCGGGTGTGGGGCGCATCGGCAGTGGTGTTTTCCTGGCAAGGAGTCCTCACCAGGAGACACATGCACCCCTGAGGCCAACGCACATGGTGCTATATTGCTCATGTGTATGACAGCAAGACGATGGGCTAAAGCGCTTGCTGGGGGTGGCATTCGTCCTTCAACGTAGTACGTTGACAAGACGGCCCGCTGATGCAAGCAGGGGAGGCCTATCCTGTGCATGCGTTCACGGTGGTGCATCTATGAGGCTGTAGACCTGACATCGGCAGCCCCAAAGCTGCCAATACCACCCAGTGATACAAGTGCTTGAAGCGTTGACCACTTGGCTTAGGCAATGCACATCTTTGAGTCAAGCAGGTAGATCTTTGGCGATGGGATGGGGTCAAACTGATCATGGCGCAGATCTTATTGACTCATTAAAGAGGACATGATCACAATGATTCAAGTAATTTCGGCAGTGGCTCGCATGATCGTTGTTTGCATTGCAACCAACATGAAACTTGCCATGCTACCAACTGAACTGCCAGCCCTACCCGAGTTTTTCCGCTCGGCTGCATGAGTGCAGCCAGTGATATCACACCGTTGGCCGGGTGTGGGGCGCATCGGCAGTGGTGCTTCCTGGCAAGGAGTCCTCACCAGGAGACACATGCACCCCTGAGGCCAACGCACATGCTGCTAAGTTGCTCATGTGTATGACAGCAAGACGATGGGCTAAAGCGCTTGCTGGGGGTGGCATTCGTCCTTCGACGTAGTACGTTGACAAGACGGCCGCCTGATGCAAGCAGGGGAGGCCTATCCTGTGCATGCGTTCACGGTGGTGCATCTATGATGCTGCAGAGCTGACATCAGCAGCCCCAAAGCTGCCGATACCACCCAGTGATACAAGTGCTTGAAGCGTTGACCACTTGGCTTAGGCAATGCACATCTTTGAGTCAAGCAGGTAGATCTTTGGCGATGGGATGGGGTCAAACTGATCATGGCGCAGATCTTATTGACTCATTAAAGAGGACATGATCACAATGATTCAAGTAATTTCGGCAGTGGCTCGCATGATCGTTGTTTGCATTGCAACCAACATGAAACTTGCCATGCTACCAACTGAACTGCCAGCCCTACCCGAGTTTTTCCGCTCGGCTGCATGAGTGCAGCCAGTGATATCACACCGTTGGCCGGGTGTGGGGCGCATCGGCAGTGGTGCTTCCTGGCAAGGAGTCCTCACCAGGAGACACATGCACCCCTGAGGCCAACGCACATGGTGCTATATTGCTCATGTGTATGACAGCAAGACGATGGGCTAAAGCGCTTGCTGGGGGTGGCATTCGTCCTTCAACGTAGTACGTTGACAAGACGGCCCGCTGATGCAAGCAGGGGAGGCCTATCCTGTGCATACGTTCACGGTGGTGCATTTACGATGCTGCAGAGCTGACATCAGCAGCCCCAAAGCTGCCGATACCACCCAGTGATACAAGTGCTTGAAGCGTTGACCACTTGGCTTAGGCAATGCACATCGTTGAGTCAAGCAGGTAGATCTTTGGCGATGGGATGGGGTCAAACTGATCATGGCGCAGATCTTATTGACTCATTAAAGAGGACATGATCACAATGATTCAAGTAATTTCGGCAGTGGCTCGCATGATCGTTGTTTGCATTGCTACCAACATGAAACTTGCCATGCTACCAACTGAACTGCCAGCCCTACCCGAGTTTTTCCGCTCGGCTGCATGAGTGCAGCCAGTGATATCACACCGTTGGCCGGGTGTGGGGCGCATCGGCAGTGGTGTTTTCCTGGCAAGGAGTCCTCACCAGGAGACACATGCACCCCTGAGGCCAACGCACATGCTGCTAAATTGCTCATGTGTATGACAGCAAGACGATGGGCTAAAGCGCTTGCTGGGGGTGGCATTCGTCCCTCAGCGTAGTACGTTGACAAGACGGCCGGCTGATGCCAGCAGGGGAGGCTCACCACTGATGTCTGAGCTTCGATCACCGGGAATCCTTTCATTTTACATGAGCGCAGGCTGGTTTGGAAGTTTTGGGCAACCTGGAGGAGAGTTGGAGTAAGAATCGCTGCCCAAACATGCAGGCACCGAGGTGCACTGAATGATACGGCAAGATGCTGTGCAACTCTGCTTCTGCTTCAGGGCAGCAAACACCCCTTGCCGAGGCTGTCATTTTCACACGCCAGGCTGAACTTCCCGAGGGACTGGTGAAGCCGGAGATCAGCTTCGTGAAAGGTGTCTCTGCAGAAAGGCGAAACAGATGGAGCGAAGGAGTTCCCAACCCGCTGTCAGGTGATTTTGTGTCAGAGTTTGACACCCTCCTGGAGACGATTGCTCCAGAGGCATTGCCAAGATCTTGACTTGGTGTTGCCAGATCACATTGAGCACCCGTTCCTTTTTGAGTTCCGCGAGAGCGACAGATTTGCGCGCGTCGTTCTTTTGGCAGGCAACCTTTGTTGTGGCGACCGCCACCACATTTGGAGACCCGGAGATGCAGGCAGTTGCCAAGTTGGCGCAGAAGATGCCGCAAGGCGGATCGACGTGCTTCTTCGGTTGGACGCTTCCTGAAACCACTTCGACATGTTCCTCCAGCTCGCAGTGTCCTGATATTGGGAACCTTAAGCCAAGAGGAAGCCACGGGATTTGCAGTCTCAGAGGAAAGCCACGCAGGCGCCTCGCTATTCACCGTCACGCAGAAGCTGGAGGATGCCCTGGTGGTAGATGCGCGGGCCCTGGGAGGGATCGGCTGGAATATTGCATCGGAAGTTCCACGTGCTCTGACGTTGAAACGCAAGAGGTGTATTTTCACTGCGAGCTTGGCGTGTGTCCCATTCCCAGAGAAGTGGAAGTTCAACTGCCCCAACCATCTTTGCCAAGTTCAACGCTAAAGTCAAATCCCATGCGAGACTCTTAATGATCTAACAGAAGCTAGGAACAACAGTTTTTGGTTTAACCCGAATCCAATAAGCTCAGGTGATATCCCCAACAGCGTGCGGAGCTCCTTTAGTGCTAGCACCACCCCGCAGCCCTCGCAGAACCTCATGGAGCCTTCGTGGAACCTTCGTGGAACCTTCGTGGAACCTTCGTGGAACCCTGGTGGAACCCTGGTGGAACCCTGGTGGAACCCTCGTGGAACCTTACCTCAGGGCCGCCCCGGACCCCGGAGCCTATCTGGGCCTATCGACCCCAAAGCTTTCAGCTGGGGAAAAAAACAAATCCCGCTTCCTCCGAGCCCAACGGTGCGGTGCCCAACCCGCGAGGTGAACCGCGCGCCGCGGCAGCGCCGCTTCTTGGCCACGAAGAAGGCCTTGGCGCAGCGCGGAGTGGAGCCCACAGGCGCGGAGAGGGCGCCGGGGAGCGAGCGGAGAGCCCGGGGAGGAAGCCTCATGAAATGGGTATGGGTACCTCCCAAACACCACCCACAAAAGGGTACCCGAAAAGAAGAGGGCGCCCCCAACAGTGACCCAAAATGGGTGCGGGTCAAAATGAAACCATCAGCAAAAATGCAGGTTTTAGTCTTTAAGTTTCCATGTACCAGGGTTCCCTTCCGGGTAGTTACCTCTCTTTTTTTTTGACCCACACCCGGTTTCCGGTTGGTTCCCTTCACAACGGCCACGACTTTCTCAAAGCCGTGTCAGGAAAACGGCTCACGGGCTCCGTGACGGCCGGTTGAATCAGGGGCATGTTGTTCGGGAAGAAAGCAACTAAATAACACATAGTCGAATCGACCGACAAGAGAAACCATGAACGATTGTCAACCGGTAATCACGTGATTATGAGCACCTTGCCAGCAAGCCTTTGGTCAGCAAATGTCGAGCAGTGGAGATAAGTCGTAGTACACGTTGACGGAAAAGACTGCAGGAAATTATGGCAGGACTACAATAAGACTACCAGCACCGAAAGTTCGGTAAACTTTCCGCGTAACAGACTGAACACCGGCAATTGCAAACATGAGCGATGGTTGCAGGGTGGCAGCACTTTTCCAACTGAAAGATCACTTCTAGGATTCCGGGGAAGGGATTTGCAGGATCATTGGGTTTTGACCGTTCCAAACTGTGTGGGTTCGAGGCTGGGCGGCTGGGGACTACCATGGGTAGAAATCATCCAGTTCCATCCTCAAAACCTCCCCCAATTCGCCTGCGAGCTGAACTTGCCAAGTCCAGAGCCACTTCTCGTGGCTGTGCCTTGGGAAGATTGCAAAGGAAGCATTTGGTTCTTAGAGACGTGTCAGCACCGTTTTTCCAGCACAGCCGCTTGAGTCGTGAGGCATCGAGATTGAGCTTGAGCCAGCAGAGAATGATCTGAATGGTTGGAGGCAGGGCGCAGTTCGTGGAACTGTTGCTCAGCATCGACACCACTTTGATTCCCAATGGATTCCATGAGGCAGCACAGGAGCTAGGATAGGATTCCCTGGCATTCGTTGATCGATTTTGGGGGGAGCAGGCTGCAAGGGAGCACCTGCACGGACGAACTCATGCTGCTAAGTGTATGCTGCGAAGTGACGGTCCAGCGCCATTGAGCCATCCGGAAAGTAGCACAGACCTACATGACCAGCAGCCGTGGCAAGGGGGGGGAAGTGCTGGACGGCGAAAAAGAGAGTTAACTTGTGAAGAGACGACGTGGCTAATCATTTTTCCCCAACAGCTGAAAACTTTGGGGTCTCAGCCCAGATAGGCTCCGGGGTGGTTCGGGGCGACCCTGAGGCAAGGTTCCACGAGGGTTCCACCAGGGTTCCACCAGGGTTCCACCAGGGTTCCACCAGGGTTCCACCAGGGTTCCACCAGGGTTCCACCAGGGTTCCACGAGGTTCTGCGAGGCTTGCGGGGTGGTGCGAGCACTGAAAAAGAGCACCGCATGCTGTTGGGGATATCACCTGAGCTTGTTTTTTAATAGTACGGACACCCATCTCTCGGACGATCTCAGATCCCCAGGCAAATTTGATGCCCACCAGAAGGTCCCTAGCCATGTCTGACCAGATGGCAGGCTGATGCATTCAGAGCCCCTGGAGTTGGAGTGGGGCACAACCACCTGCGGCTCGCAGAGAGACCTTCCTTTGTGTTTTGTTTTGCGGCCGACCTGCTACCCGTTTTGCGGGTCTAAAAAGGAACCTACAGTAAACCACCTTCTTTAGGGAGGGACCCCCTATTTTGTCTCGTGCCTTCTTTTGGTGAGCCATTAAACAGCTCTCGTACTTTGTTGGCAATACACATGTAGATCCAAATGCTATTATTGGATCCTGTGTTTTCCTCAGTTCAGGCACTGGTTGCTGAAAGAAGGCCTTTTGCTCAAGATAGGTCAGTTGCAGGCCCACAGTTCGACGGGTGAGTCACCATAGATGTGAGATGCCGCACGGCAGAGGTTACCTGTACAAGAAGTACTGCTATCCTTTCTGCGATGTCGTGAACCCAGGATATATTTGCAGATTGCACGAGAGTTCGCAAAGTGTGTGATCTCTTGAAGACAAGCAAGTACCCTTCCGACTAACATAGCGCCTGCGGCAGGGCACCTGGAAGATGCCCCTGTTAGGTGCCATGTTAGTGGCAGGGTAGCAGGACCTCTTGTTCATCTTCGTTCATGAGCCGCGGCGCACGCGGTGTCCTTTGCCTGCCTGAGGTGGGCGACGTCTGCATGGCCACCGGCTTGCCGGAAGCAGACCCTCGGCGTTTTTTTCGGTGTCTAGCGTGAGCACCTCGCAGAAGTCACCAGCTTTTGTCACCAAACTGTTCTGGCTGTGGGTCAAAACCAATGGTACCATTTTGGGGTAGGTGCACCACCCGATTTAGTTTTTTTTAGTGGGGATTGGGATGTTCACTAGGGGTACCGGATTTTGACCCATGGCCTTATCAGAGACTGGAGCAACAATTCCAACATTGCCTGTGTTCGCAACATGATGCACCTGAGGACCAGACTGTGATGCCAGCGTACTATGTGGGGCCGACAGCTGTACGGCACAAACCTCAAATAGACTGAACGAGCGAGATGACTTGTTCTATTTGGGCGGAAGCGGACTAGGTACATGGATGACCTGTCAGAAAAAGAGGTTGAGGTGAGCAAGATTGCCCCGTTCTGCGAGGCAAGGATTGTGCTGAAAAGCCGGGCTCAAGAAGCAGTCTAGCACTTGAAATCCAGTTCCATCGTCAAAAAGCAAGCAAGAAGGTTCATGACTGGGACCGCGGGACATGGGAGTCAGCTGCGAGGAAAGTCGCAAGAAGGCCGTGAACCTTTACCAGCAGATGCTCGGAGTTGGCTCCGGCTGAGAGGTGGATACACAGAAGCGTTCCAATGGTGTGAAGCTTCGATGGCTTCCTTGTCGGGAATGCACAACCTCTTTGACTCAATGATCCGGTTGAAGTTGCCGCATGGCTCCAAGGAAGCTGGAAACCCTCAAGCAGCTGGCGGCCTCAAAGAGTGCGGAGGAAGTAGCAGATGCCTTGGCACTGATACGGCAGCTTGGCAGAGAACATGAAGCATAGGCAGAGTCAGCAGAGTGCACGTGTTGCCACACACAGACACACAGCACTCTATAGATCGTCTATTTCTTAAGGTTCCGTTTCCGCGTTTCCGCGACCGAGCGCTGGGGCGTTGAGATTGGCGCACCGATGGTTTGTTGGATTGCTTGCGCTCTCTTAGGACAGACAACGAGGCCTTTGCACAGGATGGTAAGGTGGAGGCAGGTGAGATCCATTTAAGGGCGGATTTAACCATCTCTTGTTTGGTATCTTCCCAGGTAGTGGTTTGAACGGATCTCGGGGGTCAAAAACCCAAGCATCAATCATGCTTGGCAAAAAATCACTCTTTGCAGCCCTCTTTGCATTTTTTGGCCCCCGACCGAAGGCTTAGCCCAGACTTGACCACCCGCCAGGCTACGGACATTGCGAGGCTTCTGGAAGCTTTGCTGCGCGGCAAGTAATTAAATCGAGCTGGAAGGCAGATGGCAAGAGGGCCAGAACCAGGCAGCCAGGTAGATCTTGCCAGCTGCTATTTGATCGCCATTCTGCCCTGCATCGTTTGATCTCCAAATTTCATCGATGCCGCACGCCTGCCTTGTCAATTTCTTCGCCCGCGCTTTCAGCAGTGAATTTAATGGACACTTGCCTAACGCAGGATGTGTTTTTAGAGATGCACCACATCCTGTGTTTGAACTCTTGATCATTGCCACAGCGCTTGAGGTCTGAAGGGTATGGTGTTCCGCCCGGCGAGAAGGCAAGAGCCAGCGCTCGCTGCTTCCAGCGGTTAAAGCTTGAACAAAACCCAAGCAAAGCGCAATCAACTTGCGAGATGGTTGAGAGGGTTAGAGCTGGCATGTCTGCCTTGAGTATGCTACTTAGATGTCGTGAGCAGGTGGCCCAGGTGTTAGGCTCCCACTGGACGGATGCCTGCGCCGAGCTGGACACGGAGGGCACAGGCGCGCGGCGTCCGTCCGCGAGACGTCCGCGCGACGCGAGCCGACTGAAACTCGTTCCATGGCGAGGAGCGTGGGGAGGAGCCCTCCAGGAAGAGCAGCTTCAGACGGTCTGGGGCAAGGCTGGGATCTCAGCCTCTCAGCCCTTGAACTTTGCACCTGGCCCCTTTTTCGAACCCTTCGAACGCTTTCAGAATCCATTTCTCGCATATTGCGTCCTCCGGGCGTGGCTTGCGAGGTGAAAGGTAAAATAGCGGGCATGGTTGAAAGCATCTCGTCAGCAAAGTGCAGCTCTGTTTCCAGTGCCTGCGACTCTGATGGAAGCATTGAGCTTGGTGAGGCCTTCATATGATTTGACAGGCCCCTAATTATTAGCACGACGGGCTGTAGACTGCCGTATTCCGACTTTTTGTTTATGTGGGGAGGCTCCCCCGCATTCGTTCGCATTGAGATTCGTTACAGATTGAGATTGGTTACAGAGTTGCTTGGAGGTTGAACAAGCAAAGCAACACACATATTTACTTGGAGCAAAGCAAACAGTGCAAAGTGTAGAAGTACCATGCCATGAGACAAGGAAGACAAGGAGGGGGCATTGCTACTCTGGCACTGAGGTAAGCTTATGGAGTTGAAGGGAGAGCGTGTGGGCCTCGACGAAAGGAAGCCCGGACAGACGCCACGAAAACACAAGGCCGTCGAGGCGGTGTTTTGCCCTCAGGCCCGAAGCCTGTGCAAGAAGCACAAGAAGTAGCCAGCTGAATAGCTGAAGATCGTTGCAGACTGTCCTAAATTGAGCGGATAGGCTGGCGATGTGTTTCACCTGGACAGGAATGGAATGCTGAAATGCTTTCTCAAAAGCACTCGACTTGTTTCTCATTTGTTGCTGGCCAGTATACGGTGTCCGGTCACATGAAACAACACCCAAGACAGTCACCCCAAACCGGTTGAAGTGTGAGGTGTTGTGCATGTGTCACTTTTCGAGCGAATGCATGCACGCTGAGAGTGCTCAATCAGCATTGGCAAGTCATGAAGTGAACACGAACCTTTGACAGGCGCATTTTGAGAAAATACAAACTTGGCCTGCCGCCATGCATTGGTTTCACCGCGCTCGCCGAAGTATTTGCGATGCAAAACAGGAAGCGGCGGACTTTTGGTCCGGGTGCTTTTGGTGCTGGAAGAAGCTGCACTGTTTGCTTGGCGCCTGCGCAGGGCCTTGGTTTGGTCCAGCTGGGCTCGCAGCTTCATCGCATCCGCGATCAGCCACAGGAGCCTTTGCCGATGTGGAAGTGCGTGAGTAGATTGGTTGCACAGGAGGCATGCTTCCAGCTGTGAGACGGTCTGCAATAGCAACAGCCTTTCCATTGCCGGGCCTTCCGGCGAATTGAGGAGCACAACGCATCTGCACTGGTGCCGCTGCTGGAGGCCGGATATGGTGTGGCCAAACCTGGAGGCCCCAAACAGGTCCAAGTACACCCGGCGGTTACCTTGTACAGGTCCCGCAAGCCTTGCAAGCCGTGATCTCGTGCCGCGTGTCGGTGTGCTGGTGGGGAGTCATGATGATACTGTCATTTGGGTATGGGTCAAAACCAATGGCACCATTTTGGGGTAGGTGAATTCACCACCCATTTTATTCTATTTTAGTGGGGATTGGGATGTTTAGTGGGGGATAGCCATGGCCATTTAGAGACATCGCCAGGTTGAGCAGGACGTGAGCGGTGCTGCACAGCTGGCCTTTCTCGAGGATGGCAGGACGGCCTGCAACCCAGACCGCGAAAGTGTGCCATGGTCAGACTTCTCTGGCAGAGAACCATGGGAAGACATCATTTCAAGAGTGGCCCTGAATGAATTGCTTTCTTTGTAGTTGCACTTTCCTATTATCCTGGTCGAATAAAGGGTAGACAGGACGTGAAACAGCTTGCGATGGGCCAGAATTTCGGCGAAGGGTTTGCAGCATGCGGCCCGGTTCGGCCCGGTTCGGCCCGGTTCGGCCCGGTTCGGCCCGCGACACTGAGGTCCTTGGCCTTGTGCCGAACGGCACTTTGCTGATGTACCATCTGGAGTCCACTGCACCGTGGCCTGGCGGAGAGTTGCGGAGAGTCGGATTCGGAGCGGCGACGCGTCGTGTTAGCTGCAGGTTTGCTCAGAGGAAAATGTCAGCTCAAAGGCCAGAACTCCCTCGTAAACATGAGCCTTCCACTGGGAGTGGTGCCGGATTCAATCACGACGCAGGATGAGTATGACACCAGCCTTGGCAAGTTGACTTTTGTGGACGGGCTCCCAGATGAAGCAACAGTCCAGAAGGTCTATGACAATCTCGATCGGTCACGAGGTGTCAAAGCTTTCTTGGACATGGTGCCCATGGCTTCACTCGAAGCTCTCCGTCGCAACATGGTTGAAGGTGGTGTGGACGCATGCCACAAGTTCATGCTTTTTGAAGGCCTGATGGATTGCCGTTCCCTCTTCCTTACGGGGAACACAGACACCGTGTACGCCATGGTGCTCCTCGATCTCAAAAGAGACGGGCCTACGGTGGTGGAGATACCACCCGGGGCGGGGCCAGGATTGGTGAACGATGCCTTCTTCCGCTATGTGGGGGACATGGGTGGTCCAGGGCCTGATCGTGGTGCCGGTGGGAAGTACCTCTACCTCCCCCCAGACTATGAGGGCAGTGTTCCCGACGGGTATTACGTGGCCAAGTCTACAAGCTACACCAACTGGGCGGCACTGCGAGGCTTCCTCAAGGATGGCAAGCCGGACCATGCTGCACAGATGTGGCGCGAGGGGCTGAAAATCTATCCTTTGTCTAGCGCAAGCAACCCCCCTAAGATGGAGGTGATCGCGTGTACCGGGAAGATTATGAACACTATCCATTCCAACGACTACGAGTTCTTCGAGGAGCTGAACACCGCCATCCAGTATGAGCCGGTGAGCTTCTTAGATCCTGAGCTCCGGGGGAACTTGACCGCCATTGGCATCATGAAAGGCCGACCTTTTCAGCCGGACGCGAGGATGAAGGCCCTGCTCACAGAGGCCGCCGCGGTTGGAAATGCCACGTCCCGCGCGTTTTGCTTTGCGCCGCGATCCAAGACTGCCCGTATCTACGATGAGAACAGCGAGTGGGTCACAGCCTTTGATGGGGGCGACTATCGCTGGTTGGTGGAAGATGGAACCGGTGGCCGCAACGCTGACGCGAGGACGAGGTTTTTCTATTTCGCCACCGGAAACACTCCAGCCATGGTCATGAAGATGGTAGACCGTGGTTCGCAGTACGCGTTGATCTGCAGGGATGCCAAGAAGAGGTACCTGGATGGATCGAAGTCTTATAGCCTCAAGATCCCGGCAAATGTTCCTGCCAAGGACTTTTGGTCCGTGGTCGTCTATGACACGCAGACACGGTCGATGCTAAAGACCAGCCAGCTCCTCCCCTGCCGCAACTCCGTCTCGCATGCTGACATGAAGCAGAACCCCGATGGCTCAACCACGATTTGGTTTGCACCTTCCGCACCCAAGGGTCGGGAGGGGAATTGGATCCAAACCATTGCTGGGAAGATGTGGTGGGGCTGTTTGCGGCTCTATGGGCCTGGGCAAGCGTGGTTTGACCAGACCTGGCGCCCGGAAGAGATTCATGAGGTTGAGGCTGAGGCCGGGTACAAGTGAGCTGAGTGATTTTGTATCATATTATGTTGAATATTACTTTTGTCCCAGGCAGCTTGCTGTGAACAGAGTTCCAGGCAGCTTCCCTGTGAACAGATGCACAGGCTCGAGCAGAAGTCTTGATGCAGGCAATAGGTGTTGTACATTCAAGTGCTGCGGCAAGGACAGGCGGCGGTATGCAGCTTATCTAGAAGGAAACAAAGCTTTGGCCTTGTCGTTCACGGCTTTGTCGAGACAGCTTGACAGAGTATTTGGGAATGTAGATTCATGCTGCCAGTGCCTCCTAAAATCATAGAGGAGGTTCTTTCAAGCACTTAATTGCAGAGATTGACTTTCAACAAGTGAATCTTGCACCAAAACACTGTACGTCCTTGGGATTTATGCCAACCTGACTCACAGTCCGCATCCACATCGTTTCACCTGTCAGAGCTTCCGCTGGTTGCAGAAGCCAAGTCCGAGCAGGGTGGCCGTCTCAGCCCAGGTTGCATTTGCGATTGCCACAAGGGGATGGTGCAGAGTCAAAGCCTGAGAAACCTTCGCTAGCCGGACATGTCAACCGGCACAGCTGCTGCCATTGCGCTGGCATGGATTCCATGACCCATTGAATTGCGGAAGATGGCTTATGTGGGAATGTGTCCAAACATCTCCAAACATCCCGAAGCAAGAGGGGAAACAAACATTTGCCGTGCGGTCTGTGCGGAATTCCCTTGTTTGTTGTTTGGTGCGTTGCTCCTTGTTCCTGGCGCTTTCTTGGCACTATGGCTCCTTGTCCCCACTATCAAAACTTATTCCTCAGCAAGGGCTTTGTTGAGGATGCGGTTCTGTCAAGGATTTCTCCTTGAGCCATGTCATGAGTGTTTGTTGTTTGTGTGTTTGTTTGTTTGTTTGTTTGTTTGTTTGTTTGTTTGATTGATTGATTGATTGTTTGATGGTTTATGTTTCCTTATCATTCCTTATCAGGGGTACTGAGTCCATGGGCGAGTTTTGCTAAGGTGGCTTGGTCTTTGCTCTCCCGGAGGTCGCGAAGTCTTCTTGGCTGCAGCCTTGATGCTTTCCTCACAATGTCGTATTCTTTGCCATTTTTATGGCGAGCACCCGGGGATAAAACGAGCTCACCATGATATAGGTTCTTTCCTCCAGGATTGCTTATTCCAGGTTGTGGAAGGTAGACGTTGCAAGGAATCCTTCTCTTCGCTTGTTGCAGTTTTCAAGTTGGGTGCGCCGCTCTGCATCACCCGGTGCGGCCTTTGCTCTGCATCCAGCCTAGCCGTGAATGGGATTCTGAACGAGTTGCATTGCTGAGGGGAGGATGGTAGCCACATAGCCACATGCTAGCTGAGGTTGGCAGGGCGAGCAGGTCTAGCGATTTCGGCATTTGGAGGAGCTGGATGCTGGATGCTGCAGCTGCCAGTAGGTAGGTAGTGCATGGCGAAGAATTGACTATGCAGCGCTGCATCATCTCCAAAAGTGCTGGCACCACCAATCTGTGCAGAGAAAGGGTCGCGTTTTCTTGGCATCCTCAAAATCTGTATGTCAGCTTGGGATCGCGCTGGGCGAAGCTTTTGCAGTTGTGGGCTTGCGACTCTGAAGGCAAGCCCCTTTGCATTACCAGGCAAGTGCCTGGAGCGTTCCAAGACGTTGAATACATGTGAGATAATATTGGAGCGACATGTTTGGTCTTATGTGTTAGTGTCTGTGAAAGTTCTGCAATGTACTTCGCGAAACATTTTTTGTTGGCAAAAGCTTTGCTTTGGTCAAGGACCCCATATTATGTAGTGAAAGGCGCCTACCTTTGCAGACTGGTCGTGTATACTTGGCATAGACCAAATCCAGGCTTGCGACATGTGCCGCTTAGCTCCCACATGCCGCATGCCTTGCTGCTTTTGAGTCACAAACTGCAGACCTGCAATCCGCAGTTCCGGCCATGTTTGGCGCAAGATTCGCGACTCCTTCGGGTGTACTACGCTTGTAGCTAAAATTTGCGAGGTTCCAGCTGGAGTTGACGACGTAGACTTGGCGCACTATGCTTGTACTATCTTGTGCTGAGCAATTGCGATATTCCAGCTGTAGTTACCAAAGTGCGCCTTGTGTACTGATTACGCTTTTACTGAGCAAGTGCGATGTTGCCAAATCGTACTTTACGTGCTGCGAGTATACTGAAACTGACAAAAACAACAGTGCACTTCACAACTTACTTGTTTACCGTGATGGAGCTTGCACAGTTGTTTCATGTTGTTTCTTACGAAGAAAAATATTTCCAGGAAGAAATATATTCAGAACACAGTCTCTACTTAGTACTCAAACAAACATATCGCGGACGGAGATAGTTGCGTGTTACATGTCAGCTGCAGACCTCACTGACAAATCCTATGAATAAAAGCGCCTGCTTTATGCATATATCCAGTTGCCCAAACCCCTAATCTCTCAATACATCAGCAAAACTTAGCAATACTAAAACAGGTCTAAACCAACAAATCTACCACCCGCCCCACCACAGAGCTCTTAACAGAAGTTTGAACTTTGAATGCCAAACACATAGTTTAATTTGCTGTTCTAGCAGCGCCTTTCTACTTTGTTTTGACAAATCTGCGATCATGCCTGAAGCGATTCAATCTTGATTTTACTACTTGGCACATCATAGGTTTGACAGCTTTTGTGTCTAGAAAATAGCGGGGAACCTATTTGGAAGCAGGAACCCCTGAATTAGCTTTTTTTTCTCCCAGACAGATGGTTGTCATTATGGCCTGTTGGTGATCCCGGTTCGGGGCTCGGCTGGTACTGGGTATACCGAGCCTTTGGGTTCGCCAAGAGTCTAACCCTTGCAAAGCGCAAACTTCGGCTCTCGCAGTCCGCGAAGTTCGTGCTCGTTTAGTTCCAGAAACTGAGCTTTGGGGGTTGGCAAACATTTGCCTGGTCATTGTGCACCAGTCAAGCTCTCCGGCGCCCGCCAATTTAGCAGACCAAGCACGCACCAGAAAGTCGCTTGTATTCCTGGCCGCGTCCCTTTGAATCCTTCTGTCCAACTGAGATCAGGAAGTCAGGGTGTCGGCAGATCAATAGTTGCAGGGGTTTGCAATTTGGACCAACAGGCAAAGGTTTAGCCGCTATAGCCTTGCATGCAGATCAAGCATCACCGACTCTGGCAGGACGTACCTTCCTGCGTGGCTTTGACAACAGGCTGAATTGCTAGCAGAGTTTCTGCTGCATGCGGGATTATTTTGTGGAACGATTCCCCTTGGTCTTGAATTTGCTGGGCTCCCTACCAGAAAAAAAACAGTCTAGAGAGTTGTTTGTTGCCACTAGGGGCATGAGCTGTTCAGTACTTGCGTCTCGTCTGTGGGCCCTCAGCTCCCTTCCGCCTTTTTCAGGTATCTGCCAGGTGGTGCCAGGCCACGGCAGCGTGAGACACCCATTTGTACAGGGCAGGGTCGGGGTCGTTGCGTCACTGCTTCAACTGGTTCAGCATCTTTGTTCCATTTCCGTGCCCCACCGTTGCAACAGGGTGTCGTCGCTAGGAACGCGGCGTTCAGCGCCATGCATTTCCTAGTCTGAACGGAAAGTCTCGCTTCGCTGTGCAAGGCAGCAGAGCAATTAGTGAAAAAGTGCCGAAGCAAGTCCCGGGATGGCAGAGTGTCGTCTTGTTCTCGTCTCAGGAACTTTCTGCGAAGATGGAAAGACTCGCAATACAGCCAAAGACAACTGTGAGTTCGTCAGAATCCCGCAACTGTCGGCTGGAAGTATACCCATTGGCCAAGCATCAGAACCTGCGCGTGGCGCCGCGTGGCGCTTTGTTGCCCAGGCCTCAGACTTACTCGATGCTTGCGCTCCCTGCTTCGGCCAGTAAGGCTCACCATGCTCAGCCGCTGCGTGCTGCCTGCCCTGAGCCGGGCTCCGAGGTGTTCGAAGGTTTTTGGTTATAAGGCAGCATCAAGGCAAGGCTGGAATGGCTTTCTCAGGCCGCCACTCTGTTCGACGACTTGCGCCGTGCCTGTGGCAAAGCCGCCACTTTGCACGACCCGTTTGCCTTTCTGATCGAGAGAAGAGGCCGGCACAGCACGTATGGCGAAGCATTGTCATCATGATGTTGCTATCTTTTGGCTGGTCACCGCGACATCGGGAGGCAGCTGGTCGTCCGCGGGCAGAACGTCCCTGTGAGCGATGAGTTCTGGGACCCTTGGCAACTTTGGAAGCGTTCGATCTTCAGTTGCCTTCTCCCGAATTTGCTGATTGGAAAAACTTGAATGCACTTGAAGTGGTTTAGATGTATGTTGTCGGTGTTGGAGGGTCCCTATATGGTTTCACAGGGTTTGCGCGATTCTTCAACTCAGAGTGATATAAGTACGCGAAGTACGCCAGCTAGCTCCGCCTCGAAAGTCGCAACCTTTGGCTACCCTCGGAAGGCACTGCCCATAGATTTGGGCTTTAGCCTGCTCGGAGGGTATGCTGTTAGGCGATCACGGTGGGGGGTGGCAGAGCTTGTGCCACTGGAGGCAGGCCCCCATTTGTGCATCAAGGTCGTGTTGGCGGTCTTGAGCGCGTGTATGATGCTTTGCGCACTTAGTACACGTGGAGGAACCAGGGGACGCGTGCTGGCCGTATTAGGCACGCAGCTTGGCATCGCCCGAAGGGAGTATAAGCAGGTGATGTCGGCTTCGCTTAGCAAGCAGGTGACTGCCGGGTAAAGCGCGTTGTTGAAGAGTCGCTTCTGCGAGGATGGCACGTTGTTAGGCGTTGTTAGGCCCTTTATGCCGGCCTGCATATGCCGGCCTGCAGGATGTACACATCCTGTCAGGTGCGGATGGCGGGCATGCCAGCCCTGTTGTTTTTGGCGAGTCCCTACATGGTTTTACATTGTCATGCTTTCCCTTGCATGCTGCAGAGGGAAGCCGCGCAAGTCATGTTCCTTTCACGGAGGCTGCTGCCTGTGTTGCTAGCCAGACTTTACCCAAAAGTCTGAGTCAGAGCCAGTTGCGTCAGCCCAAAAGTTATGGTTTTGCTGATGATGCTTTCTTGAACAAGCAAGGCAGGTTGCCTTGGTATTCACTTAAATAGCCTTCAATCCTTGCGTGAGGTAAACGCTTGGTGCGGGCCTCTCAAAGTTTCAGGAGTATGTTGCAGACGACCAGTCCGTGAAGGATGGAGAGGTCTACAGGACTGCCTGACCGATTTCAGCAATGAACTGCCAGTTTTGTGGAAATGCGTCACTGGAAAGGCACAACACTGTGCCATGCATGTCGACCCCTCCACCGGGCAGAGAGAATCTGACAGGCAAAGCGATGGTACAACATAGTGATGGTGGTGCGTTATGCAGCCTGAATTGAGTTGGCAGGAACAACACTGAGAACTACGTCGGCACCGTAAAGTATCCCATTGGTGCGATCGGACCGCTTAAGGCACATGTTGGAAGCTGCATCGATGTAAGCACAACCTTGCTGATTTGACCTGCGCCGACGGGGCTTCCCGATTTTGAAACCATCATGTGTTTACCGAGCGGCAGACAATATATTATATCATATATATATATATATATTATATGCGCAAATTACATATGTATATTACGTAGTATACATAGCGAGCATCTTGAGGACTCAGTCGAACAAACTCAACTCAATAGTCTTCACTGTGCGAGCTTTCGCGCTTCCTGGGATAATCAAGCGTTGCCAACAAGATGCCATGGCAGGTGAATGGTGAGTATGCCAACCGCGAGTATGTCGTGCCCATGGCCACGCATGAGGGTGCCCTTTTGGCATCCTACAGCCGCGGAGCCAAGGCCATTTGAAGCGCTGGTTGCCTTTGTTCGACGTGCCGAGGATGTTGGCTAAGGGATGACAAGACAGATCTTACGGGAATGTGCAGGGCAAACACTGTGGGCAGGCCATCACAGCGGGAGGAGGAGTGACTACGCGAATAAAGACCAGATGCATGGTGCGCGCGCCAGTGGCTTGGCAGAAATTCATGCTGGCTGCACCAGCTGTCTTCTGGTCAATGCGCCTGTGATTTTGGGGCCAGACAGGTAGCCCAGAGCATTGCAGGTCTTCATTTTCGACAACATTGCTGATGCTAACGATTTCTACCGCTGGGCACACCAAGATGATACGCAGGACGGTCCAGCGTCCATTGAAATCAACAAAGTTGTCCTTCATGCCCTTCCTTTTATTGCATTGCATCCAAAACACAGTGCCAGGCAGCGGTGAAAGACACCTTACACAAGAACATTGGCCACCTGACGGAAGAACGTACTCGGCTGAGGCCTTGCGCTGAGACACGGTTGAGAAGCTTTAGGGAAGGTGTATGACGCCTTTGAAAAAGTGTTAGTAGCTGGTGTTTTGTGCCAGACGCTGCCCAGGGTTTTCCAGACAGATCGCAAAGTGCACATCTCTGTGGGCATCGACTCGCAAGACGCAGCTGGGCAGAACAAGGCCCAGATCTAGAGGATGGTGAGGGCTAAGAAAGGGCAGTCGCACCGGCGTCTGCTCAAGCGCTTCGATTGCGCATTTGCCAGGTGACATATGCTGGTGATCTGATGATGAAGTACATGAAGGACGATATGTGAAGGGAGACGCCCCCTACCACCCCCGCGGCCACACCCACACACCCGCGCGCAGGCATGCACGCACGCACGCTCTACATGAGTTATATATAATATGTATACAGATAAATATGCTCACCCCCCCTACCTTTCCACCGTTGCACATCTTCCATTTTTGCAAATCTGCTCATTTGCTACCCTCCAATACCTTCCCGCACCTGATCATTTGCCAGCAAATATGCTCCACTTGCTCATTTGCTATCCGCTACCTTTCCACCTGCCTTTAAAAGGCAATTGGCTTAACTTTGATTAACATCCCGTTTGGAACAAAATCCTACTTATTTTCTCAATCGAAGTAGACATTCAATGTCCCTTTACATTGCAATTAACTTTAGCTAAAATCTTATTTGGACAGGACGTCCCATTTGTTTTTTTAAAGCTCAAGTGCAATAGCGTCACATTGCTAAAGTATTTAATGTGGTAATTGTATTTGACTTCAATTGTTAAGTTCTCTCCAGGATGTGTTGTTACGTACAACTGAAGGCATACATACATCTAATGGTCGTCTTTCCTTATTCAGCTATGTCTATTCTACTAGTTAATAATAATTTCACAGAATACGCGGAACGGAATTCACTTTAAGTTCTGGTTCAACATAACAAAAAATCGAATTGAACCCTGTCCTTGTTGAGTTCTATTTGAACTCTAGAATTTGGTATACGGAGCCTAAGGAGCCGACAAAGGATATTTATAGGGAGCTTTGTTTCAGGATCTTGACAACGAGCCTGATGAGCAGCCAGCTTTCGAAGGAGCCTTAGGAGCTTTACAAAGAGTCGTTTGAGGAGCTTGATACGGAGCTTAGTAAAGAGCGTGTGAGGAGCTTTAGAAGAAGTCTTATCAGAGCTTTACAAATGAGCTTCAAAGGGACGTTTGCAAGCAGCGATAGAAGGAATTGTACTAGGAGCCTTAGGGAACCTTTTCATGAAGGGGAGTCTTACAAGCCGCTTTACAAGCAGCCTTATCAGGAGTTTGCTTAATGAGCCGTATAAAGAGTTTTACAATGAAGGTTATAAGGAGCGTTATAAGGAGCTTTTTAGGGAGCCATTTAAGGAGCTGTATAACAGCTTGAGTGAAGAGTTGAACGCTAGGTGTTGAGTTCTATATTTGTTGATTTTTGCACTTTAAGCGCACTCAGAAAAGCAAGCTTTGAAGTTTTACTTTGGGAGTTTTACTGTTTTATTTTCATCCCAAAGTTTTACAGTTTTGTTTTTTAGCTTGCCATGGAGAAGGCAAACAACGCAAACTTCCAGAAGTAAACAGGGGCCAATGATAAGTTCGAAAGATGACAAATTCTGCCTTGGCCAGTTTGTTGTTCTGTTTTGTTTGACATGTGCAGGCAATTGTGTTCCTGTTTCACCTGCCAGAAGTAGGTACATATGCATTGTTCCAGGGTTTTGGGATCATTTGTTGCACCGTTTTAGGCTTATAGGATCCACAAGCAGCTACAAAAGGGCTCCATTCGCATTTAATAGAAGCATTCTGACTATGTTTTGATTTTTTGAACAAATAGCATATTTGATTTATCTATCATATTCTAAATCAATTAGTTCACCACACTGTAAGCAAATTAAGAACTTACTAAGGTCTATATCAAGTCTTTCTAGAAATAAGTCCGAAACATCATATGCGACAATACAGAATCTGTCCGTTTCTCCCAGTCGTATTCCACCTACTTGAGATCTACCTTTTGTTGCTTGTTTGGTTGCAAGTGGAACCAGCCCAGTTGAATGCATATGTATGTAATTGCTATTCTGCTATACAAATGTTGTAGCTTTAGATAATATGAATCTCCACTAAATTCGTTTGGAGTAGTGAAAATAATTACATGACCTGTTTTGCATCAATATTCTCTACATAACTATATGTACCTATACCCTTCTCTGCCAGATAGTTGAATAGGTCATCGTACGTGTTGTTTTTCTACCAGAAAAGAGCACTTCAGAACTGCGTGTTTACCTAGCAATACTTCATATAGGTGCCATGTAAGATATCTTGTAGGACACGCGCTACCTGTGATTACAGCATCAGGTGCAATTCAGTGTATTTCTTATATATATATACACATAAAGGTTCAAGGGTTTAATAATTCCCCTATTACTCCTTTCTTGCGCATATCTAGAAGAAATTGTGCCCCCTAGACCAGTAGACTTTTGCAGAATTTTCAATAGCACCTGCTATTGGAGATAGTTTAGGAGTTCAAGTAACTATTTGTCAAGCCACTGTTTGTCTTCACTTCTGTTTCCATCCGTGCTCGCAACAAATGTTTGAATCACATTCTGGTTGAGGGCCCGTCTTTTAATGACAAACTCTTCTCCGGAATTCCACGCTGGCGTCATTCCATTTGAAGACTGCTGAAACCTAGCTCTTCTGGGAAATGGCACATATATGTATACATATATAACGAATATCTAAGCCGACTCTCTCTCACACACACAGACGATTGGCCAGTCAGATATGTCAGGAGAATTACAAGAAGCGTATTCCGGAGATGTACATCGAAGGCCTTTGACGAAATTCGCGCGTTTTTCCTTGGGAACAGCTTGACTTCTGTTGGGGATGAGCCTTGCCTTGGGCCCAGGCGGCTTCAATGCAGGAAAGCAGCTTGGTCGCAATAGCGCCACGGAGACGGGCATGTTTGCCCTCCGCGGTTTCATAGTTGGCTGTGGTTGTCAAAACCAATGGGATCCCATTTTGGGGTAGGTGAATTCACCGCCCGGTTTAGTCTTTGTTAGTGGTTGGATTGGTTGATGTTCATTGCAATTACGGGCTTGTGCACATGGCCAGTTCAGCATGAGCAGTTCTGAGGCGTGTTTCAGTCATGCACACGCTTCTGGGCAAGGGCCACTCTCTTGTGGCAGATGTCATAATCCCAAAGGACAGGACTTGACTTTGAGTGAAGATTATCCGAGTATCATACTCTGAACACTGGGCCCCTCTTCGCAAACGGACATTCTTGGGTCATGACCCGTCGCCGCAGCGTCTGTTCAGAGTTTGAGAGCTTTTTGTCTTGGCTCTAATTGGCAGGAAGTGTGTGAATCCGTACTTCGCACCACGCCCTACAGGCCGGCTTTGCACATTCTGTCACCTTGAAGTCCCTTTTGAGGCCAAAAAACCGGTACGTACGTTGCAGTAGGAAATCGGATTTGAACTGGACTAGAAGACAGATGCTCACATGCATGGTCGAGTTAAATATGTTTTACAAGTCAGGCCTTTTTTGGCAGGTTTACTCAAGCTACGCTATCTCTCGCCTTTCTCGCCTTTCTCGCCTTTCTCGCCTTTCTCGCCTTTCTCGCCTTTCTCGCCTTGTCGCCTTTCTCGCCTCTCTCGCCTCTCTCGCCCCTCTCGCCCCTCTCGCCCCTCTCTCTCTCTCTCTCTCTTTCTCTCTCTTTCTGTGACACCAGGCTAGTTTGTAGGATGCTCCGCAGGCTGCAGCGTTTTCAGAAGATGCACAATCGCACCAACGAGTTCATCGGCGGAATCAGCTGCAGCTTGGTCAAAAGGTATGCGCAGATGTCTCCAAGCAGCTGCAAAACCGCAATCTTGAAAGCTTGTAAGCTAAATGTGTTGTTTCTGCTGGACACCCGGAAGTCTTCGGCCTTGACCCGGTGCCCTTGCAACTTTGAGGCACTGCTCATGTTGCGAACGGCCTCGCGGCCTTCTACATTGCCACGGGCAATGACCCTGCCTGCACTGCCCGGATGCTTAGCTCGGATCTCATTGAGACACCAGCCATCGACTGGTGTTTTCAGTTATCAGATGCTTAGGCGGAGTCGCAAGCCGCCGTGACCCACTTTGACTTGGTGAATCCTGCCGGCGGTGACTGGGCCAAACTTAGTGTGAGGCCCCCCCGACTTTGCGCAGCAAAGAGAAGCGCTAGCAGCAGACGATTGGTAAGGAAACAATCAGATTGTTCTTGGATGCTATGGAGTCTATCCATGGAATTCCGGTCCTTGTGAGTTGCAATTGGTGGTGCTTGTGGCAATGTACGAGGCTCGACGAGCCTCTTCGACCAAGATTTGTACGCAAGCATCACACTGAACTCAATCATCGCCAGGCGCTCAATCTTTGGAGTGGACTCCTCAAAAGCGCCTCAGTGGTCCAGTGTTCCAGTGGTGCAGTTCCAGTGTTCCAGTGTTCCAGTCGCCTTTGTCATTGGCCGTCTCTCAACACCGAACCTCGAAGCGTCACGGGATCGACCCGCGAGGTCGCCAGCATGGGTGGAGGCACCCAGCTGCCCGCGTTCAAGGCAAGGGGTTCGGAAGTCTGGCCGGAGTTGGGGGGTGACCCCCCAATCAGAGACACTCGACCGTCCAAGCGGATACTCCTCCCAACCGACAATCGCAAACTACATGAGACGCCAATCCTACACCGCCCCACCCTGCAATCGCACACTTTCTCCCTGCCAGCTGGGGCATAGCAAAGCTGAGGTGTTTTGACGGAGGTCTTGGTGGGAGTTGGACGGGACTCTGACGGGGGGTTTGGCGCAAGGCTCTGAGTTTTAGCGGGGGTGTTGACGGGGGTTGTGACGGAGGTTTTGACGGGGGTTTGGACGGGGCTCATTGTCAGTGAGGCCAAGATTCCGCCACCAGGGCTTGAGCCCGAGCCCCTCGGGTGAGAGCCAAGCATCCTAACCAGCTAGACTATATCGGATACTGCCAACTGGCTTTCACACCACAACTAGAGTTGCCCCCTGAGGAGAAAGGTAAAGTTTGGACGGGGGTTTGACGGGGGTTTTGACGGGGGTTTGACGGAGGCTTTGACGGGGGTTTTGACGGGGGTTTTGACGGAGGTTTTGACGGGGGTTTTGACGGAGGTTTGGCCGGAGGGTGTTGACGGGTGCTGTGGCGGAGGCTCTGACGGGTGTTTTGACGGGATTTTTGACGGAGGTTTTGACAGCGGAAGTTTTTTACCCAGTGGGCGCAACCTTGCCAAAACGGGGCTTTTTGGCAGGTTCCGCCCATGGGGCACAACCTTGCGAAAACGGCTCTTTGGGGCAGGTTCCGCCCGGGCCGCACAGCTGCAAAACCCTCCGTCAAAACCTCCGTCAAAACCCTCAAAACGCCGTCCGGGTTGAAACTGATCGTTCCCTGCCAGTAGATGACCAACCAGCCATTGTCAGTGAGGCCAAGATTCCGCCACCGGGGCTTGAGCCCGAGCCCCTCGGGTGAGAGCCAAGCATCCTAACCAGCTAGACTATAGCGGATACTGCCAACTGGCTTTCACACCACAACTAGAGTTGCCCCCTGGGACAAAGGTAAAGTTTGGCCGGGGGTTTGACGGGGGTTTTGACGGAGGTTTTGGCGGGAGTTTTGACGGAGGTTTTGACGGGGGTTTTGACGGGGGATTTGACGGGGGTTTTGACGGGAGCTTTGATTGACGGAGGTTTTGACGGAGGTTTTGACGGAGGCTTTGACGGGGGTTTTGACGGGGGTTTTGACGGAGGTTTTGACGGGGGTTTTGACGGGGGTTTTGACGGGGGTTTGACGGAGGCTTTGACGGGGGTTTTGACGGGGGTTTTGACGGAAGTTTTGACGGGGGTTTTGACGGAGGTTTGGCCGGAGGGTGTTGACGGGTGCTGTGGCGGAGGCTCTGACGGGTGTTTTGACGGGATTTTTGACGGGGGTTTTGACAGCGGAAGTTTTTTTAACCCAGTGGGCGCAACCTTGCCAAAACGGGTCTTTTTGGCAGGTTCCGCCCATGGGGCACAACCTTGCGAAAACGGCTCTTTGGGGCAGGTTCCGCCCGGGCCGCACAGCTGCAAAACCCTCCGTCAAAACCTCCGTCAAAACCTCCGTCAAAACCCTCAAAACGCCGTCCGGGTTGAAACTGATCGTTCCCTGCCAGTAGATGACCAACCAGCCATTGTCAGTGAGGCCAAGATTCCGCCACCGGGGCTTGAGCCCGAGCCCCTCGGGTGAGAGCCAAGCATCCTAACCAGCTAGACTATAGCGGATACTGCCAACTGGCTTTCACACCACAACTAGAGTTGCCCCCTGGGGACAAAGGTAAAGTTTGGCCGGGGGTTTGACGGGGGTTTTGACGGAGGTTTTGGCGGGAGTTTTGACGGAGGTTTTGACGGGGGTTTTGATGAGGATTTGACGGGGGTTTTGACGGGGGTTTTGATTGACGGAGGTTTTGACGGAGGTTTTGACGGAGGCTTTGTTTTGACGGGGGTTTTGACGGAGGTTTTGACGGGGGTTTGACGGAGGTTTTGACGGAGGTTTTGACGGGGGTTTTGACGGAGGTTTTGACGGAGGTTTTGACGGAGGCTTTGACGGGGGTTTTGACGGGGGTTTTGACGGAGGTTTTGACGGGGCTTTGACGGAGGCTTTGACGGGGGTTTGACGGGGGTTTTGACGGAATTGCGGGGTCTACGTTCCTACTTGTCACAGCCTTGTCCCATGTCATGGATTGCGTGAGCGAATGTATCAGGGTGCCACTGGTGAAGCGTCAAAACCCTCAAAACGCCGTCCGGGTTGAAACTGATCGTTCCCTGCCAGTAGATGACCAACCAGCCATTGTCAGTGAGGCCAAGATTCCGCCACCGGGGCTTGAGCCCGAGCCCCTCGGGTGAGAGCCAAGCATCCTAACCAGCTAGACTATAGCGGATACTGCCACCTGGCTTTCACACCACAACTAGAGTTGCCCCCTGACGACAAGGGTAAAGTTTGGCCGGGGGTTTGACGGGGGTTTTGACGGAGGTTTTGGCGGGAGTTTTGACGGAGGTTTTGACGGGGGTTTTGATGGGGGATTTGACGGGGTTTTGACGGGGGTTTTGATTGACGGAGGTTTTGACGGAGGTTTTGACGGAGGCTTTGACGGGGGTTTTGACGGGGGTTTTGACGGAGGTTTTGACGGGGGTTTGACGGAGGTTTTGACGGAGGTTTTGACGGGGGTTTTGACGGAGGTTTTGACGGAGGTTTTGACGGAGGCTTTGACGGGGGTTTTGACGGGGGTTTTGACGGAGGTTTTGACGGGGCTTTGACGGAGGCTTTGACGGGGGTTTGACGGGGGTTTTGACGGAATTGCGGGGTCTACGTTCCTACTTGTCACAGCCTTGTCCCATGTCATGGATTGCGTGAGCGAATGTATCAGGGTGCCACTGGTGAAGCGTTTGTTTCAGAACTTAGGTAATTATATACATGTTGCCCGCTGTTCACACTCACTCGCGTTCCTCTACGACGGCTTGGCCCAAAATGCCTGATATGAAGTAGGAACCATGCGGCTGACATTCCCAACTGTTATTCGAGTTGGTTCCGGGATCCCTGCAGGGGCTTTAGTTTAAGTATAGAATTTAAAGCCGGGGAGAAGTTTGGCCCTTGAAAACAAACAGGCTCAAAAACCCTCATATGTGAGACACCTGTACCATCCCACGCCGGCAGCGCGGGCTTTTGACTCGCGATGGGATGGCGGCTCCACGCGTGGCGGGCTCCTTGCGATCGCTTGGCGATGGGCGTCAGCAAGCGTCGCAAGGCGATTGCAGGACGGGTGTGATGGGCTAAAGTCCGACACGCCCTGACTAATATGACACATGGGGAGGGGTTTTTGCTTGTGTCGAAACATAAACCCATTTTCTAGACTCTGGGGTTTAACTTCTTAAGAGGGGCAAACAAACCTCGGGACGCAAATGTCCGGACATCTTCAGTTTCAGCCTCCGCTGACACGTCGCAATGTGCGTTTTTCAGTTTCCGTTTTTTTTTAGTTGCCCGCTTATTGGGGGGGGGGTCCGTTCTAAAACGACCAAACATCGACTCGGCGTCGCACAATCTTTTGCACCAATCCTGGGATGTTCGGTGCATCGACTCGGATTCTCGGATTTCGAGGGAACCCCAAGAAAAAAAACATTCCCGATTTGGTTTCCTAGGGAATCCCCAAGAAACCAATCCTTTAAGGAAAAAAACAATCCTTTAAGAAAAACAACATTCCTTTAAGGGAATCCCCCAAGAAACCATCCCCGTTCTGGCTTCCTTTAAGGGAATCCCCAAACGGTTCATTCCCACCGGATCCCACCTGGATCTGGGTTCCGGTCATAGCAACGATCGCAAGCGAAATCGAATCGATCAGATCGAATCGAAGCCCCGGGCTCGAAGAGGATGCAGCCCATGGCCCAAATCTCAGAGCTAAAGGTGTACGGCCTTAAGGCCATTGGTTTGGACAAATATGTTTTAAGCATGTGTGTTTGTTGCTTTTATAAACAAGCAAACAAGCAAACCAACAAACACACAAAGAAACAAAGAAACAAACCATTGGGCTTTTTGTGTTGTTTGAATAACAACCCTAATCCCACTGTGAATATCTATTGCATGGGCTGTTCTTTTCAGAATCCGAAAGGGTGTGAAACAAGTTTTCGGTTGGCGCTGCCTTGCAATGCTGGGCTTCACGACTAAGTGACCGACTTTTCTTGACACAACTCTGGGCTGAGGTAGTATGGCCTGGCGTTTTCCAAAACTCAGTGTTTTTTCCAGACCCCTCCCCCAGGCGATTCCTTTTGGTGTCCAATGAGGAAACGGCAGTCATCAGGGGCAACTCCGAAAAAAAAAAAAAGAGCCACCCACAGCTCAACATCTGCCTTTTGCTGAGATGCCAACGTGCCGATTTGTGTTTCTGCCACCGCGATGATACATGCTAACACTCATTCACCGAGCCAACAATTCAGGGGAGGCTGCTGGCATTCAGCTCGCTTAAAGACGAGCATGATCAGAGGGTACGCCTTTTTGGATGGTTATAAAGGGAAACCAAAAGGAAAACCCCGTTTGGGGAGGTCCCCTAAAAAAAAGACAAACCCACTGCACTAGACCACTAGCTGAATTGGAAGCGAAACATCGTCCAACTGAGCCCAAGCCAGGATGTTAAATGCAGCAGCAACAAAGGGATCTCACCTGCAGGTCCGCTGTTGCCCAGCCTGCAAACAGCCAGGGCGGCACGCCTTTGCTGTCGGCTTCGCCTTGGAAGCTTGCCTTGTCTTGTCTTTGGCCATTGCCTACAGAGGTCCGTTGCTTAACTTGCAAGCTGCTGAGCACTGCCTTCATCTCCAACCTGGCTTTCGCTTTGGCTTTGGCCTTCCAGGCTGCTCACTTGCTTGGGCATGCCAAGTTGCTGCAAACCCACGCAGGCGGACAAGTCCTTGTTTCTACTGGCACCCACTTGCCTGAAGTAGCAAGGTGGTCAGACGCTGCTTCTTGCGGAGCATCTGTGCATTTTAGCATGGCTTCAGCCACGTGCACAACGGCCCCAGTCCCCTGGAGAACGCAAAAGGGAAAGGGAAAGATCCCAAGCGCAACGCGCCAACTGAGCCCAAGCCAGGATGTGAAATGCAGCAGCAACAAAGGGATCTCACCTGCAGGTCCGCTGTTGCCCAATTACCACCTGAACTGAGCCACGCGCAGCGCGAAACCACTCCGGCTCTTTCCCCAATGTGAATTAACAATGGTGAGCA